GGATTTTTTCACGATGGTAAGGTAAGATGGTATGGTAAGTAAGGCATGTTTTGGGTGATTTTTGAAATATTCATAGTCCACTGGATGGTACCAACCGCCCAAACTGAGATCCGAACTTGCCCAGGAGGTTAACCCTGGGGTTCCACACCAATGACAGAGAGATTGGCTCTGGTTCAAAGCGCCACTGAAAAATCTTTTTCTAAAACATTTCTGAAAAAATATTTAAAAAAATATTCAGAAAATGTTTAGGAAAAAAAAAAATCAGAAAATTTTTAGAAAACATTTTTTTAAGTGTTTTCTGAATTTTTTTTGTTTTTAGAAAAAAAAAATTTCTAAAAATAATTTTCTAAAATGTTTTATGAAAAAATTTTTCTAAAAAAATATTTCTAAAATATTTTCTGAAATTTTTAGAAAATACAATAATTAGTCTTTTTTTGGCTATTTTTTTTAAAAAAATTTATCTTTTCTGTGTTTCTCATAAAAAATATAGTGTTTCGAAATAAAAAAAACTGGGATTTTTTTGGCCAAACCTTACTTTATGGTCAGATGTTGAACGTTTTGATGAAAACATTGTTTTCTGCATGTTTCTCATCAAAATATAGAGTTTTGAAAAAAAAAAAAGTTCTGTATATTTACTGTTGTAGTTAACCCAGTAGTCAAAGTGTAAATACACAGTATTCTTTCTTACTTGTCTGTACCACACATATGTCGTCAAAACCTGGTTCTTTTCATCCTGTAGCAGCAAATAAAGGCACAAAAGCATTATGCTGCATGATTTTTTTTGTTTGTTTGTTTTTTCATCTTTTTTACTGAATGAATTAATGAAGACAAAACAAGTTGAATGGACTCACCACATTGAGAATGGAGTAAACCATGAGGTCAATGGCAACAATAGTAGATGTTCTCCAGTCCTTTACTGGTCTCACTCCTTTCTTATAACCAGCACTTAGAAACTCCGACAGACGCACCAGTGTGGCGTTGGCAAACCTTCCTGTGCTGCTGCCTAGACGCTTAGCTGGGCATTTAAAATTAAAGAAACAATTACAAAATTTAATACATTAATCTGTTAAATGCAATTAAAGCATAACCGTAAACAATCATGTATTTTGAATGTCAGTTTGGAGGAAAGGAAATAATATTTTTCAGATAATACAAGAAAATTTTAATTTTTAAAAATGCACGTTACAAACATTGAAGAATGTTTATTCTGACTAATGTCTAACATAGTTAATATTTTGTATGAAATCACTGTTTTGTTTTGGGATTTTTTACTTTTTACCTGAAGAACAAACAGAAAATGGTCTAATAAAAAAACATAAACAAATAGAAAATTATAACAAAGGCAAAAATGTAAAAAAGGTAAATTTATTTTAAGCAGAATATTTACTTTTTAGCTGAGTATGTAGAAAAATAGATAATAATTAATAAAAGCTAATAGTTAATATAGTAATAGTTAATAGTTAATAAAAATGAAACCATTGACTCACCAAAATAATATCGGATTAAAAATATTCCACAGATGCAAATGTTTAACAATTGACCTTAAGTCAAAAAGAGCAGCTGCCAAAACAAATAATAATGTTAAATAATGTAACATACACTGACAAATTCTGCTGTAAATGGTCACTTTTAGCATAATGATTGGCATATGTTCAAAGCAAGAATAAACATTGTTGTGTAAAATAGAATAAAACTTTTTTAGTTTTTTACATGTATCAGTTTTTTCTAAAATAATTTAGTATTAATGATAAGTATGTAGTAAAGTGTGTGTGTTGGTCACCTGTGCAGATTGGTGCTGCTCCTTGAATGAGGAGCAGGATCATGGCTGCTGCAGCTGACGAAGCTCTCATTCTGCTGCTTCTGCTGTGGAGTCGGTCTGTTCTGATGAAGGACCTCAGGAAAGCTGACACCCTTCTGTTCCATGATCCTCCTTTACAGGTCCATCTCATTAGATTCTCAACTCTCCTCCTTCTGGTTCAATAAAACAGCACCACCACCACTAGCAGCACCAGCAGCAGAGGGGAGGTGACTCTCTTAAATGTTATTTCTATTTCTTTTCATGCACAAACACGAGTACAGTCAAAACACTGTACTCGTGTTTGTGCATAAAGAGGGAAAAAAAATATTTGGATAATACAGCGGACTAGGAAAAACATGATCAGTTTATGATTTTAATATACAATGTTGTGCTCATTTTTTTACTGAATCATTTAACTTTAAGTTTTAATAATAATTTTTAATAACTATTTTAATAATTACTGTTTCACACTTTTCAGTTTTTTTGTTTTTTTATTTTCTTGTTACTATATTTTAGCTATTATAACTAACATTTAGTTTAATTTTTTTGCAATATCCTTGTTACTATATTTTAGCTATTATAACCAACATTTAGTTTAATTTTTTTTAATTTTAGTTTAATATATTTTAGCTATTTTCTTCTTCTCTTTGTTCATTTGACTTTTTTATTTTTATTTTTTAGATAACCTTAGGTTTTGCAATATATTGAATATATTTTGAAAAACATTAAAAAAATTCTATTAACTTAAAGAATTTTTTATAAAAAAAATTTTGTCTAATTTTTGTCCAATATTAACTTAAAGAATTTTTTATAAAAAAAAATTTGTCTGCTTTAGTAAAGCATTTTGTCCAATATGCTAGTTTCTTATAGACATGGACTTATTTCACAAACATTAGGTAAATATTTATTTACGTTTAACTCTTTTAACCATTTACAGCATTTCAATGTATTTCTACCAACACACAGCTCCCTGAAAGGAAGCATTTACGAGTGTCCTTTTTTCCAAAGTCTTGACATAAGAAAGTGGTGAGGGCACTTATCTCCGTCTGTGTGGCGTAACATCATGTAACTAGATACAGTGGATGAAGCGGAGGATTTCAGTTACTGTGGGAATGGCGTTAGTATGGATTTTTCCTGCCGTTGTATCGGCTGTGACGCACTTCAGATATTCTTATCACGAGTGTTTGGACCCACAGGGAGCAGAGAAGCTGCAGCCGAGCTCTGAATGAACGGCACTGATGAGTTTAGTGGCAGAAGGGCAGTGATTAAAGCACAAATACAGTATTATCACATCACACTGATCCAACTGGCACCGAGGCTTCTCTCTACAGGGAGCTGCTTTATTAAACCACAATCTCTGAGTTCATCTCCACTTACAGGAAAACATCATTACAGACTCAGCCACTAAAGTCCCTGTGAAACTGTTACATTCACAGGCAAAAATGCAACTAAATGTTTTTGCATTTACAGTTTTAATGAAGATTTTCCGTACAGTTCAGGATAGACGCAAGCAGCTCGGGACAATTTGTTCTTTTTACATAGAACATGTTTTTATCTAAAAGATAAAAGTAAGATGTTAAAAATGCAAAAAACTGAATTTGGTAAAAAATAAATAAATAAATAAAAATACATTTTAAAAAATTAAACAACTAAAAAAAGGTAACAATTTGTCAAAGTATCAAAAGTGAAATATTATCTACATTTTAGCCACAGATAATAGATAATGTTAAGGTTGCAAAAAGAGTTTAACCATTAAAAGCTACAAAAAATACAAATTTTAGACAACAAATTAACACTTTATTGTTTGCAATTTTGAAACTCTAATTTTGAACTCAAATTTAGTTTACAATAGTTTATCTAAAAGATTTGCCAATTAGTGTTAGCCAAAAGATAATGTTAGCCCAAAAAAATTGAGCAAAATACTGCCAAGATGGCTAAATGCTAGCTTTATGTTAGCTATAATCTTTGGCTAAAAAGTGGATTAAAGGCAATCAAATCATCATCAAATGTTAGTGACAAATGTGGGGTATTAACTTAGTAGCAAATTGAAAACTTACCACTAGACGTCCTAAATTTCTACACGCCGCTACTTTAAATGGGTTGCACCAAAACTTGATATACCTACAACCATATAATGTGTATAACGAGTGTTTTTGCAACATTATTTTTTTAGCCTATGAAATAACTTCAAGCAGTTAACGACATTAAATCTTTAAAAAAAAAAAGTCTGTGGGTTGGCCTTGTTTTATGCGAAGCTCCAGCTTGTCCACAGCAGCAGCAGAGTACCAGCGTACAGAACCAGAACCAACAGGTAGAAACGGAAAAGCAGACAGTCCAGCTTTGAGCACAGGGCCAGCCAGTCGGCCTGAGCCGAGGCTTCAATGTCCTCCTGGGACAAAGCTGAGCGAAGGCAAATCAGCTCCTGCAGGAGCCACTCAGGTCCCGAGGAACAGTTCTGTATCTCAGTCAGGGACAGGAACTCGCCCTCTGGTGACGACTCCAGCTCATAATCTAAAAGTGAAGATCAACATAGGTAGAACTATAAATGACTGCAAAAAATATTTTATAGTAAAAAAAAATGTGACTTTGTGATAAAGCTTGTCCAAAAAGTTTGATTGGCTGTAACATAGAAATTTGCAAAAAAGATAACAAAGAAATCAGTCACAAAATTAGTCTTATGAACACATTTTGCTGCAAATAATGATAACAAAAAAGTGTCTTGACTTTTCCTGACCTTCGTCCATGTTGATGTGTTCCAGGGTTTTGGTGGAGGTGACAGCGCTCTCAGTGAAGCTTGGAGCCGTACTGGAGCCGTACTTGTCCAGCAGACAGGCCGACAGCGACATTTCTTTGACCTCCTTCTGGCTGTGGTGCAGCAGCTTGACCACCAGAATGGATTTAATGAGGCTGAGCATCAACATAGCCATGCACACCACAAAGAACACACCTGTCGCACAGATAGAGAAAAACACAGGAAAGTTCCTTTACATCACGGTCTGTTCATGACTTTTTATTTGAATGTGGCTAAGTTTAGGTATTTGAATATTTTTGATTTGGCTTTTTTTTTTAATATAATTTTCTGTGAAGAAATGTTGGTATATTTTCTGCCACCTTCTCAATATTAGTAGCTATGAGATATTTTTTATTATTATTATTTTATGCAGCTTGAATCCCAGTTAGGAGAAAGTGAAGGATAAATTTAAGGGGATAGTCAAAACTTGAATGTGCTCTGCAACTTTTTTTTAAGGGGATAGTCAAAACTTGAATGTGTTTTGTATCAACTCTGCTCTGCAACTTTTTCTTAATGGATTTCATTCAACAGGAAAATGGAAAATCTGGGTTTTTTTGACCAAATAATTGACTGAGACTAAGAGGGTACATGGTGACCGTAAAAACAGCAACCAGATGGAAGCACGAAACAACCACCCACCTATGAGAGGGGTTCTGAGGGCCGAGGAGGGCAGTTCGTCCGTCATGTTGACCCTGAAGACGGTGTAGCCCAGCAGAATGCTAACCTTGAAGACTATGCGGATTCTGCTGTTCAGAGGAAGATAAAAGCTGATCACGTCCACCAACATCAAGAAGATACTGGGAATGAGGAGTCCCACCACATACAGCAGGGGGCGCCGGCGGATCAAAACCTGGAGAACAGGGAGGTTACTCAACTTTTTTTTTCCAAGGAGGCATAAATATCACATAGAAATAGAGTTTAAGCATTAATTGGTAAATAACATTTGAATTGGCTGAAGCTCTTGTAAAAAAAAGAAGAAAAAAAAGGTAAAATTATCCTAAATGTTTTGGGTAGTAAATGAGTTTCATTTTAATTTACTTTTTACAGTGTATTTACAGTGAGTTTGAGCAGTGATGTTATTGGTCTGTGATGGCAGCTGTACGTTTATGTGAAGTCAAATTTAAGCAGTACATAGCACTTCTTAGTCACGGCTAAATATCTTTGATATGGTGTTGGAGCTGAATAAATAGCGCCTCTCCCTGTTCTCCACCTGCACCGAGCTGTGAGGCCTTTTTTCCCCCACACTAACAAGAAGTCCATTGATCCGGCAGCGGCTGAGAGAGACTCATTACCATTGCTAACCAAGCTCTCTCTCTCTCTCTCTCTTTAAATCTCTCTCTCTCTCTCATCACTTGGCTTGACTCAGTACGAGTCTGATCCATGAAGGTCAGAACCAGTTGGGGTGAAGAGTCCTGGGTTTCTAACCTGCAGGAGGCTACAGTCTAAGTCAAACATCGATAACCAATCATCCATTACAGAGGTTGGTAACATACTCACCGGAGGAGCTGCCACAGCTACAGACTAAAGAGTGATTCAGGACTTTATTAAAGGACCCTGTTAATCTATACTTAAATCAGTTCAGAGGATGCTTACATTGAACTGGATGTGTGCGTAGTCAGTGTCATCCTGGTGACTTTTCCAATAGTGTGAAAGAATGGACAGCAGCTCCCATCCTCCGTCGTACATGAACTCTCTCTTGTCATCAGCAATGTCCGCAGAACTCCTCCACAGAGAAAGGTCGATCTCATTCACTGCAGGAGGAGAGAGTGAAGAAGTTCAGCTTTTCTTATGCATTCTAAGTCATATGAAGGAAAGAACACTAAAGGTTAGCCAACAAAAGCAAAAATGAACAATTCTTAGAATTAAAAAAATTGATAAAACAAATGCAGCAAAAATGCTAAGTTGAACAAATCAGCACGCAGGGCAAGAAAATAACTGTTAGCTATCAAAATAGCTAGAGTTGAAATAACAACAAACAACCAGCAAAGAAAACTATGATTGAAGTCTAGCAGGAAGATAACTCAATTTTGGGCAATAATAACTAAAAGTTAGAAAAATAATTTTAAAACATAAGGAAAAGAGAAAAACCTATGTACAGAATTTAATTGCGTTTGTTATAGTGGCATTTTAGTGTCAATATTCTGGACCTGAGTGAAGCCAACTGCGGAAGGTGAGGCTGCAGTTCTGCTTGTCGAAGGGGAAAGCGTACATCTCCAGGCTGCAGGCCAGAACCACCTGCATGGGCCTGTAGTTCCTCACTGAGCCAGAAGAGTTGACGTAAACATAAGGGATTGGAGGAGACTTTCCCTCATCCACACTGGAAACACAAACACACACAGGACAGGACGTGACATTACATAAGGAAAGGGGACAGTAAAGTGAGACGTAGAAAACAGGACAGAATTTGAGACCCTGAAGGTTCACCTTCTTCCCTCCTTACATAAGAGTAAAGGTCAGTTTGTTGCTGCTCACGTGTTTTTCTCGGATGGTATTTATTTTATTTACTTTAAGATAGTGGATAATTCTAAGTCTCATAAACTTTTTTCTTACAGTTCTGTGACAATAACATCAGGAATCCAGATGGCATCAGATGACAGAGAGATCTCAGTGATGCCATCAAACTCTTCCGGATCCCAAACCAGGAACTCATCAGTCCAGATCTGCAAACACAGCAAACACGTGCAAGGTGCAAACACAGGTGTGTAGACGTTTCACAATAGTAGCAAAACAAGAGAATTAGTGGTAACTCACCTGTCTGTACCAAATACTGAGTGTAATACTCTGCGTCTTTGCATCCTGGGAAAAAGAAAAATATTTTAATACTTAAATGAGCGGTTTGAGTTGCATCAAGGAGCCCCTGAGTTGCGTCAGGGGTTCCCTGTGCACTTTTTCCAAATACACACCACATCCAGGACAGACTGTAGTATGAGGTTGATGGAAATGGTTGTAGCACTGGTCCAGTTGTGAACAGGCCGAACTCCGCAGTCGTAGTTCCTCAGCAGTGTCCTGGTCAGCTGATTCAGAGCCGACCTCTTTGGCTTCTCTGGCACACATTCAGACAAATGTGCTTAAAGGGAAAGAAAAACAGCGACAAGGTCAAGTAGGTTAAAGCAAACAAAAGACAGGAAACAATACCTACAGCTACATGAGGGGAGACGTGACAAAAACACGTGGCAAAAATTGTTAAACATGTTGATATTAGAACATATCAATAAGGAACAAAGGAATAAAGAATCAAAAAACACTTTTACTCAGATAAACACAGAAGTTATCCTTAATATTTAGCTGTAAAGGAGTGAATTGTTGATGAAACAGATGTAACTTAGATGAGGGTGTAGTTCATGCTAACATAGCTTCGTAGAAGGTCAACTGTAACTTAGAATAAAGTAAACAAAATAAACAAAATGTGTAAAAAATAAAAAAATAAAAAATATTTTCTTAATTATACAAAACAAGACAATTTGAGTGAGGACAGATATAGTTAAAGTAATCCAAAAAAAAAATTCAATTTTTAAACATAAAAGCCCAGAGTAGCACATAAGTAACTAATCTTAGCAAAACCTGCTACAAATATCGTGATTCAATTTTTAAACATAAAAGCCCAGAATAGCACATGAGTAACTAATCTTAGCAAAACTAAAGTTAGTAAACAGGAGGCTAAAATGGGTTACAAGTGAAACTAATTAAATTAACTAATCTTCTGTACAAAATCTGAAACAGATCCTCCTTTAATTATTCTAGAAAGTAAGCTGCTGATACATTTAAAACTGATTTTTCTGACAAAGATGACTACTACAAGATGACTATAAAGATGACTTAAAGCTGTTTACCTGAGAGCAAAAGCATCATCAGCAAAATGAGAGACATTGAGTTTCAATAATGAGTTATCCGAGGTTCACGTCCAAAATTCTGCTATGTTCACAAAAAGAATTATTCAAAATTGAATCCGAAAGGCTTCACAGTAGCAGCAGTAAGTGCAGTGAAACAACAATGAACAGGTCAGCAGTGAGAATTTGGTTGCACTGATATTGATTTTTTCATTGCCTGAGTAATGTGATACATACATCAACCAAACAGTGATGTGAGGAAACTCCCTGAAGGTTTGTTTGGTGCATGTTAACTTTCATACCTACTGTATATCTGCATATTGTCAATACACACGTTCTTTATTTTTGAACGTTCAAAATCTGTACTGTGTGTTTTTTTTTTTTTAACTATTCCTTATTCTATATACAAACAAATAAAGAAAACGTTTCATTTATCTAGCGGCGCTTTTAATTGTTCCCCCTAACAGTACTTCTTTAAATGTTTGAGTTACGCACTCTGTAAATGTGACCTGAACGCAACAAACTGCCCTGTCAATCAAAGTTGCAAAAACGCGCAGTCACGTAGGTCGTTCGCGCGAACGCGCATGTGTTCCTGTCAGGTGAGCGCGCGCAGCTGCCGGACTGTGTGCGCGAGCTCTTTGGCAGATGGAGCTGCTTTGATTGGGGACCAGCGTCGACACCTGACAAAAAACCCTGAAACAACAACAGGAAACCCGTGTTTTCTTCTGAAATGAGAGTCGAACACAGCGAAAATGGAGAACAGTCGACCAACTCGGTGAGCGAAGTGGATAATGTGGAGTTATTAAACTAACAAGTGACTCGAATGTCCAAGAAACTAACCGTAACACTAACCCCGCGTTCTGTAGGCACAACCCCCCAAATGTCCAGTCATAATATGACATTTTAACGACTTCCCTAACTTTATTATTTAAAAACGGCGTTTTTTAAAGGACGCTAAAACAAGAGATAATGTATTGGAATATACTGTGAAATTCGGCGTTCTTTAAGCGGAACCAACTTTATCTTTGTTTAATAAAATCTAAAAATTGTACATTAATCCTCTGTTCTAATTAGCAATTTGTTCCGTTGAAAAACAAAGTGTTTCTTTTTTATATTAAAACTTAGCAATTTGTTCCGTTGAAAAACAAAATCTGCCCAGTAAATGATTCGCGTGTTTCTTTTTTATATTAAAATAATTGTATTTAAATTATTTCCATTTTTATTCACAGAACTTTGTCTTTAACTCAGTGCTACCCAAATCTTACAGATCTCATGTAAAATCTCATGATCTTACAAATCTCAGTCATGATCTGTAAGATCTCATGATCTTACAGATCATGACTAAAACCTTTGTGACAAATCCAACGGTTTCCTTTTTTTTTCATTAAACATCTTCTAAATACTTATTTTTAACTTTTGTATCTGACAAATTTTATTTGGTGACATAATATATAACCATTTAAACCTAAGCGGGAATTCTGACATGTTTTGTTAAGGGTTGCTGTAACGTTTAGATACATTTTTGTTTGGTCAAGTGTTGGAGCCTATTGCCTTATGTATTTGACATTTTAAATTTAAGTAAACCTTGAAACCTATGTCTGTTAATAATGGCATATATGAAAGTTCATGATTATAGTGCAAAGAATGCATGGATGCTTGTAACAGTTTTTGTGTATTGACATTGGGGTTGTGTGTTGAGGAGAGAGAACGAGAGAGAAGGAGAATGGGGGAGAGAGAGAGAGAGAGCACCTTTGTCACTTGGTGGCATGGTGAGTGGAATGATAAACAGAAGCCTGTGCTATCCATGTCAGTGGCCTAAAATAGAGGCTAACCAAGAGGGTCTCAGATAGCCCCTGGACTCCATATAAGTCTGCTATGGTCTGTTCCTAGTTTCCTGTGTGTGTGTTTTGTGTGTATGTGTGTGTGTGCTTGTGCGCACCTGCTGCCTGGTTATAGCAGGCTTTATATAGCAGCTCTCACTCAGCAGACTCATGTCATTTCTTTCTTGTGTCTGTGAGGTCGCAGCACATGACGACCTGGGAGGGTTTGTTATTGGTCACAGATGATTACAAAGCATTACATTTTTCTTTGAATTTTAAACAACTTTTAAACACTGTATGGACTCAGGCCAGTAAGCATCTGAATATGATGACACTATTTGAAGCAGCGTTGACCTAACACGGCTACAACATACCACGGCAGCGTGGCATTCATGCCAACATCCTTTTGTCTTCATACGGTGTATATTTAAAACGTGTGTTCACCCTTTGAGATTCCTAATCCTGCATGGAATCTTGGTTTGGATTTATCTTTATGACCTGGAAGTGCAACACTAGTGTAGGCATTGTTAAGCTAGTATGTTCAGAAATGTAAAAAAAAAATGTCAAAGAAAATTATTAATTCAAGTTTGTGCTACTTCTACCAAAAGATTTTTATAATAGGAGTGTGTGGATTGACTGTGTGAAGAGTCAGTAGACTTACGCTAGTTTTCTCTGCATCTGTATCAACCAGCAGAGCGAGATGCTGATCAACCAGCTGAGGGAAATCACAGGCATCCAGGATCCACAGATTCTCTTCAGAGCCTTGAATGTAAGATCTGAAAGTGTGAAAGCTATTTTAGAGTTTGTATGACGGTCTGTTTGCTTTGCTTAAGGATATGACAGTTAAGTGACTCTTATATAAATACTGAATCATTTTTTTTGTCTGCTTCTGTGTGTAAGGCCAGTCAAGGCGATGTTGGCCATGCTGTTGGACTCCTAACAGCACAGACTGCAGAGGTTCAGGACCCCGGAGATCATCAGGATCCTGGGGCTCCAGGCGAATCCTGGGATGACCAGAAAGGTGAAATATTAAAACACATATTTAGCAGGTTAATTTCAAAGCATAATAAATATACAATCTGACAAAATATAGGGCTGGACTTGAAATATAGTTAAAACTCAAAAAAGAAATTCACTCTGTTTTATAGTTAACTTAGCTTTTTTTTTTCTTTTGCTGCAGCCATTGGGTTTTTATTCTTAAACCTCTGCTACTTCCACTTATTTTCATCTGATAATAAATACTCTTACATTAAACCGTATGATGAAATACTCTTACATATTTATGTAGATATTCGTAAAGATGAACTGCAGACCGCGATCGCACTCAGCCTGCAGGAATCCCACGATGCCCAGGAGGAGGAGAGAGAATTTCACAGGTACAGGAAATCATGCTCTTGTTCCTGGTGATGATTCTGTTGAGGCTGCTGCTGAATGATGACGGCGGTGCTGTTGAACAGGGCTCTGGAGGCCAGTGCTGAGGAGAACGCAGCAAGAATGAAGAGGAAACGCTGTGAAGGCCAGGGTGAGATGTGCAGCCCAGCAGACTGGATCCGTCAGGGTGACTGGCCCGTAGGCATCCGTAATGTCGGGAACACCTGCTGGTTCAGCGCTGTCATACAGGTGAGGACCAGTAGGGCTATACAAGAAATAAAAAAAACATGTATTTTATTATTATTATTAATGCACTTATCTCTAGTTAATGACATCTACAGCAGTACCAGGATTTGAAACACAAGGTCAAGGTTCGCGACAGATCAAAAATTTAAACCTCTAGTCCAATCAATCCTAATGAAACAAGACTGTGCTGGCATTTTCCAGTTAAACCGATAACAGTATTTTCAGAGCAGCTTACTCTATCATTAGTCCATTCCAGACTGATTTTAGTCAGGCCTATCAGGTGGCTGGGCAGAAACTGGAGCCAGATTGTGAATAGAAGAAACTGGTGATGAGAAGAGTGCTGGACTTCCTCGTCTCAGCCTGAGATGGACACAGAGACACAGTGATTTATTTACTCTGCTAAACTAAAATATTCAACCCTGACCAACTGACCTGGAAGTAACAACATAATTATTTATATAAAAATGTTACTCACATCATACACATTTGTTTTGTCCTTTGCCTTCAGTACAGTCGATGTGCGGTCTAAATTAATGATTCAATGGAGCCCGACTCGTGATAACACACTGCTCCGCGAAAGTAATTATGCTATCAGATTTAGGCTCAGAGTGACCACATGATCAAATTGTCAGTTCATTATTCCTCTATTTTCTTTTGTGGTATAAATTACAGTAAAAGTGAGATAAGGGGTAATTGAATTTCCTACTCGGAGGAAAAATAAATCACTATAGTCATAAGTGCTCGAAGGTCGTGGGTACACATGACACATGAACCTAACTCACAGCTGGAAATGCTATTAGTTTATCAAGAAAATGTCACAAACTGGCTATTAAGATGAAGAATATAGAGCTTACACTGCTGCTAAATATCTCTCCTTATGTAACTCCCCTGATAGAAATGAAACCTAAAAAGTAAAATAAAATAACCTAAAATTATGTAAGATGCTTCATAGATAATTGCTTTGTCCTGTTGATGATTTTGCAGAGGGAGAAGGGTCTTCATTTACATAATTAGTCAGCATCTCTTACACAATTACTGAGAATTGCTTTTAAATAAATGTGACCCGGGGGTGTTCATATTGTCACTTCTGGACAATAATACAACAGGGAATGAAATACGCTAAACGCACAAATTAATATAAAGGTTGTAAAGTACCTGTTCTTTGACAAGTTTTGGTTTTGAAAAGATATTAGAAAGAATAGTCCTGCCATTGTTACTTGGAACAAATTTCCAGTATTGAATTCAGATGATCAACTTTACAAGTACCTTCAAATTAGGGTCCTAGAACTTGTCTCTTCCCCTTTGCGATACAGCTACATTTAAAGTAGAAGACGATAGTTGTAGGAGTGAATTAATTCTTCAGGATTTTTGTGTCGTTACAGTCACTGTTCCACCTGCCTGTGTTCAGAAGGCTGGTTCTTAACTACCACCTGTCAGAGCGACTACTGGATAAGTGTAAGAGCCAATCAGTAAGTAAAGCCGCGTGCTGTCATCTGCATATACAATGATTTCTTCTGTTCGTTAAACTTTGACACTTCCCATAAATAAGAGTGAATGAAAATGTACGCATTGAAAGCTATTCTAATGATAAACTGCTGTAGAGATTTTATTTCATGAGTGAACTTGAAGGCAGCACTTCACTCAGGCACCAAATCCATATTACATGGCTTGTAACCTAGACAATTGGACTAAGCCTAACCCCTCTTCATATGTCTTTATTAGCGTGAACAAAATTTGACTCTGAGTCTGCATTCACAGGACAAGAGGAACATAGCTTTCATGCAGGAGCTGCGCTGCTTGTTTGCCCTCATGGTAGGATCAACACGAAGGTTTGTAGATCCCTCTGCTGCCGTGGAGTTACTGAGAGATGCCTTCAGGACCAACGAGGCCCAGCAGGTACCAGACACATGCTGGAGTCAAAGTGCAAAATGTTTTCGGCTAACTTTAAGCAATTTCTGTACAAATGAAAGTCACAAGCTTCCATCAAAAGTATTTTTTCCTCTTGCTCTAAGACCAAAGGCTACCATTATGGAGTAACAATTGGGGCAAAAAATGTTTTCCGTTCTCTTTGATTTATGGTATAACATTAGTACCACAGTAAAGTTGCAGCTGAGAGACAAGGTCAATTAATGACCTGCTTTTTCACATAGTTTGATTTAAATATTTAGCTAAATTTCTGTTTACAGCTATTTGCATATTAATACATAATAATTGGCTCGGCAGACAGTTTCCCTGCAGGCAACCAAAACGTCCTCAGACGTGTTTGATCAAAGTATAAATGTAAACCAGACAGCCCCGAGATCTTGTCCCACTTTTGCACATTCTTATGCAGAATCTAATTACACAGATTAAGGTTACTGTGACACATTTTTTGCCTCTATGAATGCAGTAAGTCAGAAACACCTTCAAGGAATACGTTAAAGTTAACTTTAAAACTGTGGTTCCTAAAAGATAACGTCCTGCCTCACTTCACCTGAGACTTTCCAGCGTGACCCAGTTTTTAATGAAGCTCTCTGTTTTATTAAACGGAAATAGTCCAGTGATTCACAACTACTTACATGTAAGGGATGAGAGTGAAAGGGCTAAGATTTATAGAATGTACCTCTACATTATAATTTTTTTCGTACAGCATTTACGAGTCTATTCAAATATCTCTCTGACCAATGAGCTGTAGGTTAGACTAAAGGTGAATTTAAAAATAAAGACAAAAAAATTACGACTGAACAAGGTGTGTCCAGGAGCAGAAATGGACAAAGCAACAGCATTTTCTCAGTCCCGTGTCCTTCTAGTGACCGTCACCAGCTTGGATAAATTAGTAGCGAGTCAGAAAGGCAGTGTGTAAAAAATCCTGGCTTGGAGCAAGAAGTCTAAAAACAACTGCACTCCCATAATTCATGTTTGTGATATTTTCACTTCAGGATGTCAGTGAATTTTCTCACAAACTTCTTGACTGGCTGGAGGATGCGTTTCAGTTGGCTGCCAGTGGAAAGTATGTCAAACAAGTTCTGCCATTATCACACAAGTGGGTTATTTTTTTTCACAAACAAAATATTGACATGTCTTTTCTTTCAGTAACGCAAAGGACAAACAGCACAATCCCATGGTGCAGCTGTTTTATGGCACTTTTGTTACTGAGAGAAAACACGAAGGTAAAGGTTTTGTAGTTATATTTTGTGGTGTGAAATCTTACTCTGACTCAATAACATGATACGGGTCGTGATTTTGTTAAGGTAAGACGTTATGCAACACTGAGCAGTTTGGACAGTATCCACTGCAAGTTAACGGCTTCAACAACCTGGACGAATGCCTGGAAGGCGCCATGATTGAGAAGGAGATCGAGTCTCTGCATTCAGATCACAGCGTCACATCTGGCCGTGAGGTGAACACCTTCATCAACCGAGTGGCTGTCAAACCTTTGTGCTGTTCCTCATTTTACTAAAGCAGGTTATCTGTCATTGTTGCAGAGATGGTTCAAAAAGCTACCCCCTGTCTTGACCTTTGAACTCTCAAGATTTGAATTCAACACCCAGCTGGGTCGCCCTGAGAAGATACACAAGAAACTGGAGTTCCCACAAATTGTATACATGGACAGGTGAGCAAAAAGCAAAAACCTTACAATGCGGTATAAATCAGGAATATAGAGCCTCTCAGATATATATTTATAAGTCCAACTATTAACAATGGATTTTTCTTCAGATATCTTCATAAAAACATAAAACTGACCCACGAGAGGAGAAGTGAAGTGAAAAAACTGAAGGAGCAACTTTCAGTCCTTCAACAGAAATTTGAGTGGTAGGTCAACTGTTGATCCTAATGGTAAAACTGTAAAGGGAATTATTTTCGCCTATTTCTATATCACGCCTTCTTTTTTATGTCTCAGCTATAAGAACTACGGCTCCGGACCAACCAAGTACCCTCTGGCGGACATGCTGCAGTTTGTTTTGGAGTTTGCCACCACCAAGCCTACGAGTGCGTCACCACCTGAAGACCAGAGGCCTGCTGCATCTTCACCAACTCCTGTCAGTCATCCACTCAGTGAACCCACCCCTAAGGATGACAGGTGGAGTAAACAATCTATTTCTGTAGGAATCATCAGTCATTTTAGGACCATGACTCATCTCTTTATGTTGAAAACAAACATATCAGTATCAGTAAGCTGTAGAAATACTGTAGATTTTGATGGAAAATACTTTCAAGAAAAGTGTGTTGTTTTAACTGGATAAGATAACTGGTCGACTCCCTCCAATAAACAAGCCTACAATCTACAAACTGTAATTTTCTAATAAGGTCTTCATCCTTCAAGATTTGGACATAATTAGATGTAACGTCAGCATAACATTTTAACCATGACCAATGACCAAAATGATGTATGTAACGTCAGCATAACATTTTAACCATAACCAATGACCAAAATGATGAAGTGAGCGTTTCCTGCCTATACGGTTTTAAGTAACACTCTGAAAGTACAGCTAAATCTTTTTGTCTCACGGCCCTCAGTGAACTTGGTGAGGCAGATCCATCTGAGAGCCTGGTTTCCAGTGCATCAAGTTGTCAGCGGACGCCCATTTACAAGCCTTTCACCCAATGCAGACACCCCATGGACTGCTCACCACACCCAGCCCCTCACAACATCAGTGAAGAAGAGCTGCACTTTGTTAAAACCTGCCTGCAGCGCTGGAGGACAGAAGTGGAAAACGATATCAACGGTGAGACTCACACACAAATAAGTCTCGATTGTCACGAATGGCAGCAGTTCACATTAAAAACATTATGTGATGTATTGTTAAATACAAAAAAAAAATTATACATCAACCCTTTAAATGCAACCAACTCTGCTGACAGCAGATGGAAGGTTAGGGTGTGATCTCTCATGACGAGGAAATGGTAACGGTAAAGCCAAGATTTGCCAAAGGCACATCCTTTACTGCGCTTTGTTCTGTGAGGATAAACTAGAATAAAAATACCTGCCATATAAATATAAATAACTGGTTCAGGGAAGAAGCCTGTAGAGTGCCTGAGGGGAACTGAGGCACTGATGTGCACCTTCACCACCCTTACTAAAATAGAGCTTTATGTCTCTGTCTCCTAACGTCTGTCAGTCGACTGTGACTCATGCTCATTCCAGACAATAGATAACAATAAATGCAAGGTGTCAAGTTGAGTCATATTCCTGTGACTTTAAACCTGCTGGAGAAAGTCAAGCAAACTTTCTTTTTGTAATGGGGCAAAACATTTGCATGAATAATATATATATTTTTTTTTTTTAAATGTGTTGAATATCTTTGTCTTTTTTCAGAGCTAAAGATCAACATCGATAGACTCACACAGAGGCTTGAGAGCATATATGAAGACAACAGTCTCTGCCAGGTAAAACCTAGAAGTCACTAAAACTCACTAAAAATATACAGGGTAAGAAAGTTAAAAAAAACCCTGTAACCAGGGAAACATTTTTTTGTTTTGATCAACAAGATGTCACTAAAACTCACTAAAAATATACAGTGTAAGAAGTATGTTTTGATCAACAAGAGATTTATCTTATTAATCATGCTATGTATTAACAATATATTGCAGCTAATTTTGAACTAGAATTAACCAGCCACGGAATAAAGACATTTTTAACCTCACATTTCTCTAAAGAAAATCATTTAAAGATCACTGACCTAACAGTAGGATTTTTTTTTGTCTGGTAAGCCCAGGATTTAACATTCTATTGAAGGATCTGCCATTGTACCTTCGTTAAAGGTTCCTTACAGACTCCACGCGGTGCTTGTCCATGAAGGTCAGGCATCAGCAGGTCACTACTGGGCCTACATCTACGACCACGCTAACCAGCGATGGATGAAGTACAACGACATCTGCATCACAGAGTCCTCGTGGGAGGAGCTGGAGCGGGACTCCTTTGGAGGAATGACCAATGCCAGTGCCTACTGCTTGATGTACATTGATGACAGAGTACCCCAACTTATTACAGGTACATGTGCATACTCTGCATACACTACACATGGAGTTATACGTGGGTATACTAGTAGTCATTAGGGGTGTGTATTGGGAAAAATCTGGCGATACAATACGCATCACAATACAGGGGCAATGATAGGATATACTGCGATATATTGCGATACTACAGGCACAATGATATAGTGAATTTAAAAAAATAAAAGGGGAGGCGTTAGATTACTTTTTGTTTCCTACCTCACTTTTCCTCAGAAAACACCGATGACGAGACAGGTCAGGTACTGCATGGCATGGACTCCCTGCCGCCCGTCCTAAAACGCTACGTAAATGAAGACAACCGCTGGTTCCAGCAGGAACTGAGTGAATGGGAGGAGCAGTTCTGCCAGACGGCTACACCGCAGGAGGAGGCTTCTTCTTCTGCTGCTGCTACTCCTGCTACTCCTGCTACGGTTTCAGTAGAGCCCCCAAATCCTGGCCCTGAGAGTGTTCAGCAAACACCTGTGGAGCCAGCACCTCAGTTTGGACCCAGCAGTGAAGAGTTGGACCAGGCAGTCACCTCAGAAGCAGAAGCAGAAAAGGATCCTGAGACTGGTCCAGAGATAAAGCCTGCAGGTCTGTAGAGGTGGAAGAAAGACATGAGATATTAGAATCTAGCATTTATGTAATATCCGTAGTAAATGTGTGTTTTGTTTTTAGCTAATTTGTATTCAAATGTATATGTTTTTAGCTAATTTAGTAACAAAAAAAATAAGTTACAGCTTGAATGTGTGTTTTGTTTTTAGCTAATTTGGTAACAAAAAAATTAGTTACAGCTTAGAGTTATTGGGCTAACTTTCCCGTGTTATATTTACTGTATTATCATTTAAGACTTTACCACATGATGAAGACCAGTTTAATCATCAGTGTTATATTGCACACACATCCTACAAGTACAGAAATACATGTTTATTTATGGCTTCTCTCATTTCTGTCTTGGACTCCAGAGGAATCAGATTTAGCACCTCCTGCTCCTCCTCCTCTTCTTCCACCACCATCCCAGAGTGATGGCTGCCAGCCAGACGACATTAGCAGCAGCAGTTCAGCCATCACTGACACAAGTCCAGTCCCCGCTTTAGCTGAGAAGGAGACGCAGAGTCAGGTGGGCAAAGCCATGGCAACTTCCCAAACCATCTGTTTCCGCCCTGTGGTGAATATGGGTCATGAATTCTCGTGCACCAAAATAGTGTATACATTTGGGTCACGGGTCATATTTCATGCATTTAGCATAGTGATGGATGTGTGATTGTTAATGTCAGGATGAGAGCAGAAGAACAAATCGACAGAGTCACTGCTGTGGAGACAGATATCGTCACATGGGAAGCAAAAGAAAACAACATTTTGCCTGACCATCAGATATGTACAGAAGTTTTTTTTGAGTAGATAAGACTCAAGGAAGAAAAAAAGGAAAAGGCTTAAGAGATGATAGAAAAATAGATTGATTTGTTGATTTGATTTGTTGTTGTTGTTTTTTTTACTGCACTTGATTTACTCATTTACATTTAGGCAGTTTTATAAACCCATGATATGGACGACTATAACGTACAAGGCCTAACACTGAACAGGATGAGCTGTTAAAAAAGCTGAACTGATCTCTCTATTTTTCTCTCTCAGACTCCTGACCCTGAAGCAGAGATTACTAACCAGGCGTCGTCTGACCACCAGGAAGACAAGGCAGATGTAAAGGCCTCCACAGGCCTCTGCTCTGAAACAGAAGTTGAGCCCGAGGATCCCAGACAAGCTCCTGAGCCTGAAGCCGAGCAGCAGGATGAAGAGCGACAGCAGGATGTTCCAACCAGGCAGCGACAGCCGGAGAACGAGGTCTCCGAAGTAGAGATTCCCAACGTAGGCAGGATCATGGTGAGAGCCGATGCTGATGGATACAATGAAGAGGTGAGTGCATTCCACACAGGTTAACATTATAAAAAGTATGATTTCTTTTAAAGCCGGATGACATAAAATACAATGGACATTTTTGGGGTTTTTTATTGGAAAAAAATGTTCTACTTTGGAATTTAGCTTCTAATTTAGCTTTTCACGTTGTTTCCCAGATGATGTTGACTCCAGCCATGCAGGGCGTCATTCTGGCCATCGCCAAGGCTCGACAGACATTTGACAGTGAAGGCCCTGAAGCTGGACTCATTAAGGTGAGAGCTTACACCACTAGGTTTGAATAGAAATGTTACACCAACATGTTTTAGTCTATTTAATATCTGCAAATGTAATAATTAATAACCTTTACCTTTTGGAAAAATTGGTTGCTAAAAAAGCTGAAAAAAAGTAAATTTAAAGAGCAATAGCTAAGCCAAAATATATTGTAGCGTAACACTGCTTAATTTACACAATACACAAAAATTAGTAATAAATAAAAGTTTTTTGTATTTATTTGTCTAGAGTTTGATCAGACAGAAAGCTCTTCCTCACAGCAGGACAGGAATGAACTCAGCTTTTTTGAGACTTTTTTTTCCTGAGCTCCTGTGGTCACTGTGAGGCTGATCAAACATGTTGTTTCTCCTGCTGTTACGTGTCTGATTTTCTTCAAATAATGGAAACATCAAAATCCTCTCCCATCGCCCCCTCCAGGCCTTCCATGAGGAGTACTGTCGCCTGTACGAGCTCTCCCAGGAGGAGGCGACGCCTCAGGAGGACGCTCGCCTGCAGCACGCTCTCGTCTACTTCTTCCAGAACAACGCACCGAAACGCATCATAGAGAGGACGCTGCTGGAGCAGTTTACTGACCGGAATCTGAGCTTCGACGAGAGGTACAAATCCAGGATTATTCCCAGTGTGACAGTAGACACATTTTTACAATTTTTATACTAAGTTTTTATATTAAAAAAAAATGTAATGCCTTTTTAGTAGCAATAAATAATAATCAGGTAGATCAGCAAATGGTAAACTTGTTCCAATAGAAAATTACAGCACCAATTCTTCCTCCCTGACAAAATAGAACTCCTTTTGTAGCCCTTTTTTGTCATATGCATATATTTTAAGATTCTTTCAATTCAAAAAAAGTTTATTCCACTTAAAAACTATTTTTTCAACTCAATTTAAAGTCCAGCTGCAGTACTTATCAAGGTCAGATTATGCCTGTAACCCACACTGGAGTTCAGTGGCAGCTAAAAAAATAGCAGTCATACAGTGCCATCTAGTGTCAAAGCAGAGAATTGCAGGTTGGTAATGATTTTCAAGGGGCTAACACAAGAGGAAGAAAAAAAGTATTCAGAAAAATAAAAAAAATCATATTTATTTTTTACAATAACAAAGCTACATGTCTTCCATTTAAATGCTGATACTTCAGCAGCAGTGTTTCCATCAGGGAATTCCTCTGGAGGACATCTTTCAAATGTTCTCTGAATTTGAGGGAGAGAAAAAGAAAATAATTCAGTCAGTTCTTGACATAAATGTGATAAAATGTTCAAAGTTGTTTTTAGACAAGATGCACAGATGTGAATTACTGTAACATCAGCCTTAGAACTATTTAACATTATCATTGACTGTCCTTTGTGTACTTACAGGGGGATCAGTATCATGAGAGAGGCTCGGACCAAACTTCGCCTCATCAAACCAGAGGACATGGACATGGACATATACCTGGTACTGTCTGAAACCTCAGAGAATCATCTTCCATTTGCTAATGATTGAGTCTGGGAGGTTTCCGTGCTTTCCTCTCTGATTAATTCAAGTCTAGGACATAGCCGTGTTGAGTGAATAGTTCATGACTAAAAGAGAAGTAGCAGAGAACAGGAATGATCAGTGCTGTGTGTGTGTGTTTGCTCTGTCTCGCAGCAGTGGCACGACGACTACAGGCTGTTCAGGACGGTGTTTGTCTACCTGCTCACAGGACTGGAGCACTTCCAGCACAGCAAGTAGGTGTCACAGCCCCACGACCACACTGATGTATGTTCACTCGCTCTGCTGCACCTAGAGGGAATATTGTAATAGTTGTTTGAATAGTGTTATAGCATTACTATCATAATAATTATTATTATAATGACAACTATATTCATAGTGCTAAATTTCAAATCAGATATGTTTGCTTAAACTCTAAACTTTCACATTCCAGACGTACTAAGAAAGTAGCCAATAGATTAGTGTTAACTGCGCTAAAAGTCTTGAAATTGCTAAAAGTCACTCAAAACATACAGTTAGAATTTTGAGGTTGTTTGATTCTGATTTGTAGGGGTTTCACCAAAGAGTAACAAATGTTAACATTGTGTTTAGCAGATTAATAACTGTAGTAAAGTATTTTCCTCACTGGTGCATCTGTGTTTGTGTGTGTGTACTGCAGGATGAGGGAGGCACTAATTTACCTGGCACACGCCTACGAGACCAACAACACACTGCTGAAGAACGGAGACAAACGTGGTGTGGACAGGTCACTTATCGCCATCTACAGGAGGAAATGTCTGACTGTGAGTGACACTTTAGTCAGCAGGACCAAGTTGTATTTTCTTGTGTGAAATAATTTAGGTTGAGGCTGAGTATGTACAGTACATTTTGTTGGTTAGAAACATATACAGTAGGGGGTGCCATAAACACATAGCTGTGACCTGTGTGGCTGAACAGCTAATCGTATTATGTAAACCACACATTAAAACCTCTATAGCTCATAAGTCCTACAATTGAGTGGTGTGGTGCCCATTAAAAGAGAATACTTCATGAGAAGTATGTGGTTTACTTTAATAGATTCCAGTGTTTCCTACCTTCAGATTAGCAGAATCAGTCAGGTCCACACTTTTCCAGTGATTTATCTTTCCCATCATTGTCCTCCACACAGGCGTTGAATGAAAGTGCTTCTCGGCTGTTCTGTAGTGGTGAGGAGAGCAAAGTAGAGGAGGGCGTGGCCATCATGGACGAGGCCGTGATCCCCTGTCTTCATCTCATGAGCCGGGAGTCTAGTCTGTCCCAGGAAGACAGGGAGGCTATGGAGACCATACGCAGCCAGTGGTGCTGCTGCCTGAGCCAAGACATGGAAGGTCTGAAAAACAAAAAACAGATTTTATATATATATATATATATATATACATATATATACGTATATATGTGTATATATATACACATATATGTATATATATATATACATATATGTGTATATATATACACATATATGTATATATATATATACATATATGTGTATATATATACACATATATGTATATATATATATACATATATGTATATATATATATACATATATGTATATATATATATACATATATGTATATATATATATACATATATGTATATATATATATACATATATGTATATATATATATACATATATGTGTATATATATACACATATATACATACATATACATACAAATATATATACATGTACAAATATACTTATACATATATACATACATATATATACATACATATACATACATATATACATATATTTGTGTATATATACACTAGTATATGTACTTATATATATATAATATTTACAACAGCTTAAAAAACATGCAATTAATTTGCTGTATTTTGTTGAGTTAACTGTGGACAATCATTGTCAGTTTTGACTCAAACAACATTAACATGAATCTACCTTTGTGTCCAGATGCACTGCAGGTGAAGCTGGGTGAGTTGCTGCCCAGGGTTTTAGACGGCGCCTCTGAGACATTAGTCCTTAAAGACCCGCCTAAAGTCCATGTCAACCAGGCCCATGACCTTTGTAGTCGGCTGGCTGCGGTCATGGAGTCCATTCACAACACATCCATAGTCATCGTGAAGTAAAGTCCTGGGTGAGAAAACCAAAATAATCGTTTTTAGCATGTGACCTGGATGGCGAACGATTCTGCACTGACCGACTGTGGGGTCAATACATTGTATAGTTTTTACTTTTTTGTGTCTCGTGTCATCATTTGGTTTTCGGTTTTGCACAGAAAAATATTTTTCGAAAATGTTGAAAAAGCACCAAGATACAAAAATTAGCAAACCATCAGGCATCTCCCAAAAAAAATAAAAATACTGACATGCATTCATGCACACATTTAGAAAAAACTGTTAGACCTTTCCTACAGGAGCTTTACACACAGCTAAAAAAAAGGCAAACTTGATTTGTGACACTGCACAGAAACAAACACAGTTTGTTAGATTTATTTTGTAAAGATATATTTTATAATACTGTTTCTGTGTGAATGTTAGCTGCTGTGATGGACTGAGTAACCACAGGGTGGTTGACTCTGTGAAATGACGATAAGCTTGTGCAAAAAAAAGTCAAAAAGGATATACGGTTCAGATAAAAGCATCTTTCTGCAGATAACTGATTTGCGTAATCTGTCTGGTAATGTCAAACAGGAACATGTAGTTCCTAGAAAAAGAGATGTGGTTCTAAAACGTTCTAATGTTTTACGTTGACTTTTTAAATTTGTTTCCATCAAAACCATGTCAGAGAGAAAAGATGTAGAACAACAGGAAGTGAACAAATGTGCGTGCGTGTGTTCTTGAATGAAAATACAACTCAGTACCATTTGTGACATCATACATGACTTTATCAGCCATCTGTGGCTGTACAACCTACTTTTTCCACTTGTGGTCTGTAATGATACTTAATAAATGTTTTCAATACTGCCTGGAGTTTTTGTTGTTTACAGCCTACACACAAGTTCTGCAGCAAATCACACAACAGCAGCATTTGACGTTCAGACTGAATAAGTCAAAATTATTTCCTTCATTTTCTTTCACCTTGTTCTTACTGTACTGTAGTAGATAAATAAGGCTGTTATTACATTAACCAAAATGAGGAAATAAAATAAAACATCAAATTTTCAACAGGAAGCCCATTAAAATTGACTTCTTTACTTGATTTTGTATGTCCAAACTAATAAAAATGAGCAATAACCCTTATTTCTTAGACTATAATCACAGGTTTACTATAAAGAAAAATATTTGACTGGACTTTACTATCTAAAATCACCATATCCGGACCGCGGTGCTTTTGTTTTGAAGAGCCGGAAGTTTGACGACCTTCCAATTCAGCTATCTTTATTTAGCATATCTGCGGCAGAGAGACGATTCTCTACTATTCCAGACTCAACGGAATGCAGTACAGACGGAAACACGGACAGATTAGAAGTCTTTTCTGACAGTAAGAAGGCATCTTAAGGACCGGAACTGTGGCTTTCGTGTTGGACCTACGGCTGATATGAGAAGCGACAGAACGGAAGTAGTTTTGAGCGAACGGCGGAGCAACTGTGGATGTGGATCGGGACCAGGAATCGTTCATTTACTGTGGCGTTGAGCGGAGAGGGAAAATCAGCTGGAGTTTAAATTCAGCGTAAACGACTCTTCTGGAAACAGGTGAGTGAGAAAAAAGTTAAACTCCACTACTGACCAACAATGTTGTCATTTAACAAATCCACTCGTCAGCTAACAGGTTTAGCTAACCCGAAAGGAATGCTTTCTAAATATTTGTTTTGGTTTTGGGGGGTGGTTTCAATTTTTTTTTAATAGTGGCGACGATTTTTTTTTCTGTGGTTCTACCAAACTTAAACACTTCGCATTAATGTCAGCATTTTGAATGCCAGCAGTGGATTAGTTTTCTGTGAGTAAAAAGATCCGGTCACTCCACCACTGTTCTAAATATACTGTACCTACACTCGTGTTGTAGCTCTGCAGCATCAGCAGGTGTGAGTTTGAACCGAGCGCAACATTAACTTAATCGTTATCATCTGAAAAAAAAAGCTATCTTTATGTTTCAGCATAATAATAAATATGTGCTTCTTCGCACCAACAACGAAGCTCACGCAACAATTAATAGATGACGGATAATAGATGACGGATTCCGTTCAATCTCACGCAACAATTAATAGATGACGGATTTACCGTTGAATTAGTCGAAAAATAATATTTTGTCAGTAGGCGGTTGTTATCGTCGCAGCTGTGGTGACTTCGCTGACATCGTTACCTTTATTATAACTCCACTATAACTTTATTATAACTTTATTTTGGCATTTTAAATATGGCCGCAATAAAACGTGATCATTGTGCAACAAGTATGAAACCTGTGACGTAGAATAAAGGCGAGTTTGACAAGGTAACGTTGCTATTATAGGTAAATTAGCTTTTGGTCAATGTGTAATATGACTGTAATTTCGCGCTGGATCAATGTTCTTCTTCCAAATTCATTAATTACATCTGCCCTATGAAAAAATCAATTTTATTTTCAAGAAATGTTTGCGAAGATGACGATAAAAACCCACAGTAATAAGAGTAAATTCTAAACAGGCAGATGTTAAATAAAAATGTACTCAATATTTGTTCCACCGTGCAAACATCTAATATTTAGAGAACATAACAGTAAGCTGCTATTACTATAGACTAACGTTAGGATTACATAACTCCTATTAGCCTACTTTGGCAAACTGACCTCTGTTTTGGGACCAAAGATCAACTAATCAAGTTTAAGGAAACAACGTAAGAAATGTTTCACCAAATAACTGAAACGTCAAATGCTGGTTGCTTCTACTGCTTCTACTAAACTTCTAGATACACAAGTGATGCATTGTGAGGTGCATGTTGTCAGGCTGTGGGGACTCACCAGTTGTAATTCTTCCAGCTCTCCTAAGATTGGGCCTCTCAGAGGTTTAGTCTGGGCTGTGTTTGGTCTGCCGGCCGCTGCTTTAGCAGTCTGGTTTTAATGGCTAAAGTAAAAAAAAAACAAACAAAAAAAAAACAGTTTGTTAACAATTTATACCAAAAACAACACAATATACTGTTTAAAGTATAAAACACTGGAGGGCACAAATGGACTGACCACACCCTGCAACCACTTCAAGGCACTTCAATGATGATGAGTTAATCGTTGACCACGGCTGTGGTTAATCGAACTTGCATTTTTGTTATTGTTGTTGTAAACACTGAACTATGAACAATGTTCTGTTTGTTTCCCTCTGGTCCACAATACCTTCCCTTCTCTCCTTGTTATTGGTGACCATGTAAACCTAGTCAAAGTCTGTATAAATGCAAAACACGTGCAAATACTCAACCTTTACTCTTATTGGGTCAGTTTATCACAACCTCACTCTGTTTTCAAGTATCAATAATTTACATTTATATATATTCATCTTTTATTGTTGAAAAAAAAAAATATTTAAAAAGTCTCCTTTTCACTTGGTTGCAGCAAAGAAGAAAAACAATATTTACAAAGGCTCTCACTTTCTGGCAAGTTCTTCATGGTTTGACCAAAAGAATCTAAAACATGAGAAACTGCAACATCGCAAAAACAACGAAGGGAAGAAAGACAAGTTTGTTGACATTTAGTCAGGGCTTATTAAAATAAAAGTTCTGTGGCGGTTGATCTAGGCACGGGCAAACTGAGGCCCAGGGGCCAGATGTGGCCCGTTCAGCTTTTTAACCAGGTCCCCCAAACTTTTCCAAATTATATAATGTATTTCTATTATCATTATACGTCTGCCTTTTTCTTGCAATTCCCATGTTTTCCCAATAGATGGTATAGAAAATGATAAATGAATGATTTATCTTAGTTTACACAAAAGCTCCATCTATCTGTTAATGTCGTAGCCAGGAGATGCAAAAGTAAAGGCCCACAAATAGTTTAGTTTTTAGTTTCAGATTTGTTTGTTGCCATTGCTCATGTTTTGTTTCTACAGTCTGGTTTTAAAACACTGAAAAAAAAAACAGGAAATAAAAAAGAGGAAATGTTTCTATATGTAAAAGTAATTAACTTGGGTTTGACTCTTTAGCTTTAGCTCCGTCTTGTTCCTCATCGCTCTTCTTAATGCTTCAGAACAAAAACAAAAAAACAACAATATTGCAAAAGACACATTTTTCCCCAAAGAAAAAAAAATTGGCCGTGGGCTGTGGGAATATCTCGGAGTTCTCCTTAGAAGGTCGGAGTTCTGGACAAACATGGATAGCAATATGGAGCTGCAGTGATTGATGGGAAGGAAGTACAGATAAGAGATACGTCTGCAGAGTTTTAGTTGGTGTTTTGAACTTTGCAGGAATACTGTTAACAAAGACTGAGAAGCTAAATGAGATTTTCCCTGCTCTGTTGAACCTCTGTGGGTCTGTTCTATATAAGACAACATGGTTTATATTGTGTCCTAAATCTACTGTGTTACTTTTGGATTATATATATATATAGATTGATTCAGAAAACTATGACGATAGTCAAACAATATTTAAATTTGTTTGCTCCGATTTTGAAATTGTTCATTATTGAGAAACCTGATCGAGTGAAACGTAACAAAGTTACATTTCACTGTTGTTTTTTCAACGTGTTGAAAAAACTCAAAACTGTTGGAGAAGCCTGAAAAACGTGTCTTCACGTGTTTCAGTTGTTGAAATCTGACACCAGCAGAAAGGGACATCTGTTTTAGAACTCAGTCTGATCCTCATATCATCTCAGACTACTCAGTTTTCACAGTTAAGAATGTTAAGATAACCACATTGTTACACATAAATATTAAGTTGATTCCAGTCAGAGTCTCAGTAAATCAGAATATTCCCTGGCCTCATCTTTTTTATGTCATGATCTGCAGGTCTACGACCAAAGCTGTGACACACTCGTACCTTTCTTCTCTCCAGGCGTCATGAGTAGTGAGCTGAACGTTCCAATGGGCTCTCCGGCTCCTGGTGTCTCAGAACAGGCTGCGGACGGCAGGGGGATGGACTACAGGGACTGGGTGAGGCGCAGTTATCTGGAACTGGTCAGCTCCAACCACCACTCGGTACAGGCCCTGTCCTGGAGGAAACTGTACCTGAGCCGAGCCAAGCTGAAGGCCTCCAGCAGAACCTCCGCCCTGCTGTCTGGGTTTGCAATGGTCAGTCTATTAAACCAAAAAAAAAAAAAAAATTACCATAAATAATTTAATAAGAGATTAATAAATGCTTAGAAGTAAAAAGAAAAACTGTAGAATTGAACTCCACGAACCCTGATGTTAATAATGAACGGCTGTATGTGGTTGGTGTCAGGTGGCCATGGTGGAGGTGCAGTTGGAGATGCAGTACAGTTACCCTCCCGTGCTCCTCATCGCCTTCAGCGTTTGCACCACGGTGCTGGTGGCCGTTCACCTCTTTGCTCTGCTGATCAGCACCTGCATCCTGCCCAACGTGGAGGCCGTCAGCAACATCCACAACCTCAACTCCGTTAGCGAGTCGCCACACGAGCGCATGCACCATTACATCGAGCTCGCCTGGGGCTTTTCTACCGCCCTGGGGATCCTGCTGTTCCTCACAGAGGTGGTGCTCCTCTGCTGGATCAAGTTCTTGCCCGTCGATTCCGGGGGCGTCACCAAGCCGGCCACCACAGTGGCCCCCGGCGTTACTAAACCCACGTCGGTTTCATCAGTGGTGCAGAACAGCGGATGGAAGGCTGCTCTCGCCTCCACCATCATCATGGTCCCGGTGGGGGTGATCTTCGTGGTCTTCACCATTCACTTCTACCGCTCTCTGGTGCGCCACAAGACAGAGCGCCACCACCAGGAGATTGAGGCTCTGCATAAGATCAAGAGTGAGCTGGACGGGCAGGAGAGGGGTCTGCAGGCTGTGTGAGACGGTGGCCGCAGCTTTGAGACACTTTGACTTCTGTCCCTCCTGTAATTATAAAAACAACACATGAAGTCAGGTCACTGATGTTTCCGTGTTTGGACTCATATGTTACTGTACGTGTCAGACGACTAACTTATTCTGAAAGGTCAATTTTCTGTCCCTGTATTTGAGTTTTGTCTGTTTTCTGACCTGTAGTCTGTGTCAAAGAAACATGTTTACAGCTAAAGGGCTATGAGATTTAATGTGCCATGTGATGTTGGTTGACCTTGTGGTACAACAGTGGGAAATGTGTTGTGATAGTGGCTACAGTTAAAGTCTGGTCTCTGGTCAGAATAAAACCTGGCACTGAAAAAAAAAAATCACTTTCACCCAGATTTGAGGTTTGGGTTCAGTCGTAAACATTTCTCCTCTCGCAAACCAAAAGGCCAACAATGAAACAACATGGCATCACTGTTTTCTTTTACTGATGGGGGAATTAGAGATTGAAGGACTGCAGACCTCAGTCTCAAAAATAAAGGGAGAGAAGTTTGGTTTTTACATAATTCTCATCATTAAATAAAAATTAGATATTTACTATGTTTACTCCCAAGGACATCACGCAGTGTGGTTTCTTTCAAAATAAAAGCCTGGGTAAAATTTCTTTAGGTAAAATTATGATGTAAAAATGGAACAGCCCTAAACACTTGGGTCTGTACTTTGGATAAATGTTTTTTTTTTACTTTGCTCTCTTTGTTGTTTTTTATATGCAAAGTGTCAAATGGATTTAATAAGGGATTCAAAAATGTTGGAAGATTTGTGCTTACATTAAATATGCAGTAAAATACTGTGTCTTAACCTGCTTCCTTGAGCACAATGAAAGCTCAAAGCAGTCATTCAGGTCGAGGGTTTTACTGTTGTTGACTGTTTAAAAACAAAGTTTAAAAGTCTTAAATGTTCTTGTAATTCTGTAAAGTGCTTCACGTGGCCATCTATTCATGTTCCAAAACAAAAAAACAAAAAAAAAACTATCGTCAAACAACTTTTATTTTGTAACAAGAACACGGAACCTGTTGGAAAAACAGTTCACACTGATGCAAAATGGTGCTGCTTCATATTCAATATGAACATGCTACTGTCCAAAAATACTTCTGCCTTATATGGTCATTGCCTTTTATGAACTGCGTGCATAAAGTTCAAAATTGTTCTTGGAGAAGGATTTAAGATGATAGAGTTCAGTCAGAATCTCTGGCTGTGGCTCACAGGGGGATAAAAAAAGGTCAATGTGCTAAAAGTGAGTGAAAGAGCATGTGATATAATCGGCTGGACTTCATGACCTGTTACTGTTTTTTTCTTCTTCATGTTTTACATTCCAACGAATTCAAAAGACCAAAGTTTTGCTCTGTATTGTTTTGGGTTTTTTTTGCTACAGATCGACATGTAAACAAAAAGTGCACTTGTGTCTTACCTGCTCATACCGTAGTGAATGTCACATCCTGGGTTTTCGTCGTTCTCCTCATCATCCTCATCTTCTTCATTGAAACGTGCCGTCTCTTTTTTGACAGTTATAACACCAGGGAATGTGTGCTGGACGAAGAAATTAAAGCCTAAAATATAAATAAAAACTGTGTCTCAGATGGCGTGGTCTCGTATTTTTCTCTTACAGATATTAACATATATGTGTATATATAAATATATACTAAACATACTGTATATATATATATATACACAAATATATATATATACTAAACAGGTACATCACTGAACTACACAATGCTTATTTACAGATGAATTATGAATTACCCCAAAAACATCGTGCTGTTAGGAGTCATTTGTAGTTAGCGTTTGAATTTGTTTTAAACTCCCGTAGACGGAATGTATTCATTACCAGGTGTTTTGATTGTCCGCCAACCACTTCCGTTTTCCGGTAAAGATTTGCAAAACTACAAAAATACACAGACTTCAATGTATATTAAAATACGACGACTGCCGTAAAAAGCTTAAAGTGTAAAACTAAATACTGTAATAGCAAAACAATGAATACTTTACACTTAACAGTAAAGCGTTAATAAAAAAAAAACAGCTAACCTCGAATTCACAAATCAATTTATTGAACGCTAACTTGAACTATTTCCTTGAGATTTGTCCAAAACATTCGCATGTTTTCTCAAACACAAGCACAACTAGATCGTCGATTACGAGAGAAAAATAGTGCATTCAGAGAGTGCATTTAATACGCAAACCACCGTAATAATATGTGCAAAAAACCAAATTATAAGTTATAAGACCATTTAGAGCTGGATAGAATGTATATTAAAACAAAAAAGTGTTGTACAGTAAATAAGAACAAAATAGCTTAACATATCGCTTAACAAGAGAGGAAAGTTGTAGAAAATTCAAATTATGACCAGTAGCCAATCACCACCCGCTAGTAAAAGGCTCCACCAATCACGTGCTTGTTACATAACTATATTTGCATATCACTTTAAACAGTACCGCGACCACAGGCCTTGTGCTCCATTGAAACACATAAACGCACGTCAGTAAAAAAACAAAAACAAACCCACAATAAAATAAACCAGAGGTTTCGTGCCGAAATTGTACCAAAACTACCGAGAACGTTCGAAAATATCAAATCACAACTAGGTAAACAATTAATAAAACAGAACAAAACAACGCTAACCCAAGTTTAACCAACTGTACCAAACAGGAAGTGAGTCAAAACTCGGCCGAAAAAGTGAGGACGCTAACCAAAACTATACCAAACATTCAAGTATTATATACCTTTAAGTACTTGCATTGTTGTATTAGTAAATGTAGCAACACGAAAAGTAGCTTAGTAAAAAGGACGGAACATGTACCAGAGTGGCCATAAACCAGAGTTAAGTTTTTTGTCAAACTAACGGAAAAAATATGTTGTTTTTTAATGGAGACAACTGCAAAAGCTTCGGAGACGGGCCAATATGATTACCAAGGAATATTCTTAGAAATACAGACACATGTGCAAAGAAAAACTGTAAATGTTTGACCTACATATTCGTGGAGGAAGCAGGTGACCAGGATGTTGTTTTTTTTTTTTAGACCGGAAGTCATACTTTGACCCATCCAGCCGGGACAAATAAACTTGGGGGGAGGGGCGTCTGCAAACGGACGTCACGTGGGTACACGCAGTGTGTAAATATTTGCAGACTTTGCAACAGCACAAAAACTGACACTACACATTTGTGAAAATAAAAATAAATAAAAAATAATAATAAAATGAGTGACGACAACAGATACTGTGCTCCCAAAAACAAATGACAAATTAGAAAACACGAGACAGTTCATTCTTTTAGGTTGACAACGTGGACACGCCATATTGAGAGACCATTACTTACCACCAAGGTGACCCTCTTGCTGGTGTAATATCCACTCGTTGCTTGCAGTCCTACAAGTGTGTAGTCGGAGAAAAATATAGTACATTATAATATAATAGAGTCCACACGCACTTGTCTTCCTATACCAGCAGATGGCAGGCTTGGCTCATATGCACTCATTTTTAACGAGGGCCAAACTACAGATGGAGTTTGAGACGTGAATACTTAAAGATGTGGAGTGGGGTAAATCAAAAATATCAAGTATGTTAAAGGTACTGTAGCCGTGTGTCATCTTAACAGGAAGTGATGAACTGAAATACATGCTTGTCTGTATTGGCAGCTGCAGATCCACGTTTTCTTGGTGAAACTATACACAAAATCTTCTCCATCAAGCCATGTTGTTGGAACCAGTTTGGACTAAGAATGTTTGCCAACATAAGCTGCTACAACTTCTTATCTGTTCCACAAAGACAGCGCATGTCATTTTCCTACAGACAAAGACTTTGCTGGGTGTTTAACAGTGACATTCTTGTATTTAATAAGCCGATTCTTTAAATGGCAAATAAAATTTGTAAGTCTTCCAACCAATCAGGAAGTTGATCATTCTAAACTCCACCCCAACATGCATTTCATGACATTCCTGCCCTTACAGCAGAGATTCAATGAAGCAAATCGTTTTTATTTACAGTAACGTCCTGGTATCTGTGATGACAATACAAACTTCTTCTAGTCACAAGAACTAGTTGCCCTGAAAACCCATATTAAAACATAACGCTATAAAGAACCTTTTTGTTTCTTCTGTTAAATCTCTCTGTTGACATGTAAATGGCATTTAAAGCAATGACAAAACAAATGGAGACCATGTCAGATAATACTTATCTGGTATATTGTTACTTTGAAGGTCAATACAACAAAGTCAAAACCTGCTATGATCGATGCGAGTGCTGAGTCATGGAAAAAGTCATGTTTACTGAAGAAAGGCAACGACAGTAACAAAGAAAAAAATAATAATAGTAAAAAAAAACAAGGAGAGTAAAAGCCTTAAGATGACGTGTCACACTGTAAGGCAACTCCATGGCTTGGCTCGGCCCTTCTCGTATGAAAAGCTTCCACTAACATACTGCTGAACAGAGATGATATTTCAAACAAATCTGTAACGATAAGCATTCGGTATATTTTGGCAGTAACGTCTGCATCAACAAGCAGCAGCAGCAGCAGCTGAGACCCAGGAAGGATCAGTAAAATATTTCAACCTGCTTAAACCCAACATGAAGTTTATACTGCAAACAAGGATTGTCTTCTTTTGTACGTCGTAGGTTCTGACACTCAGGTTCATTGGTGTTAACATCCATCCTGCCAGTTTGGATCAGTGGACAGAGACGTGAGGGTCAACACCTGCTGCCGCAGCGACCACGGAAAACCTCGTCTCGGTCCACCAGTGATGTCATCACATCATCAGAATGGATGTTATCATCACATCTAACTTGAACACAAACTACTGTTAATTTCCACAATCTCCAATTCTTATTGTACCGATCACTAGCGTCCTAACACTTAGAGGAGTTTTGACAGCGTTGCTGGAGTGTTTCAGAAGATTCATTTTGAGGCGATGCGACGAGTAACGTATCCGTAACATGCGAGATATGTCCCAGTAACCTGAACATTCAACTTCATATGAAGCCGCCCTGCCACCCCTTCCCTCCCCACCCAGTTCCCGCAAGACAAGACATCAAACCACAGGATTCAAAACAAAAGGGGGAAAAAAAAGGGGGAAAAAACACATTAGAATTCATCAATTTGACAGCTAACATAGCTTATAATCAGTCTAAGGCAAAAATCAAAAACAAGTAGTGGGCTTGGTGAAATAAAGAACTTTTTTTGACAACATACTGTGTAGGTTATCGCTCTGTGGACCGAGGTCCAGTAGTCCATGTCAACCTCCCTCTTTCTCTAGGTGAAAAAAAAAAAAACCCTTTCTTCTCCTGCTACAGAATCTAAAGGAAAAGACCAGAGAGCGAGGGAAAACCTCAAACCCTGAAGCTCTCTCCTTTGCCATCGATGTGGCGCAGACGCAGGTAAACGTCTGTGCCGATGCCCTGCATAGACTGTATGGACAGGGAACCCCCCAGGTAGTCGGCGTAGGCCCGGGACGTGGGCAGGCCGAAGCCAAACCTGCAGGACAGAGAAGACGCGGACGGGTCAGCGTTTCACAGCTGGCTGAAAACGGTGTGTTTGTGAGGAAAGAAAGTGGAAAAAGGCTGAGGATGAACAGGTCTGGCTTTGGGTATAAATTTAACTTTAACTGTGCTCCACCTATTCTACCTGCCCTACCCTAGCATTTAACACGATGTTTGGTATAGAATGTCAGACAAGTTCAAAGTTATAGTATGAGCAACTACAGGTTTCCTCTGTCACTCTGTCAGAGTGCCATAAGGCGGGTGTGTGTAAGAAGATTGAGACATTTTATTTAAGCATGTCTTCATTTAATATAAGACTTTTTAAAATTTAACTTTGTTTTTAATCTTCATGTTTTTATTTCTTATTTCTTAATCCATGTAATTTCAAATAATTGTTTTGATATATTTTGTTATAATTTTATAACCATGTTCTCTAGTCCTAACTTGAACATAGACCTTATTACCTGGAGTCTTTTTTTCTCAGCTGCACCCAGACCTAATGCTGCCTGGATACACACAGGATCAGGAGATAAAATAACTGCTGAGTGAGCAGAACAGTGAGCAGCCCACCCTGACACAGGATGTCAAAAGTGCTGACCAACCACCACCCTGACAGTGAGTCGGTGAAGCGAAGCCACATCCTTACCCGTGCATGGGGCTTGACTGGTTCCCACTGTTGGTGATGTTGTTGAATAGGTTGCCCATGCGTGGGTCCTGCGCGCTCTCCTCAGCCGTACTGTAGTGGTAGTCCATCACCTTCTCGACGATGGTGTGGGGGATGCCGCCGCCTCGGTCTGAAATCCTGGAATTTTGGATCAACAGCTTAGACGCAGAGTGACGCAATGCTGCACATTTGCCGCGCGTCGTCTTAACGCACTCGCCCAACTCACCTAATGACAAAATCGATGTCATTGTTGGCGATGGTGACGACCACATCGGGAACGTTGTACGGTGTGTCCAGGTGGCTCTCCATGGTGGCCCTAAAAAAAAATAAAAAAAATATAATGTTTTTATATTATATATAAAAACAAATATTTTTGGGTGTGGTTCATATAGGGGTGTATGAAAATATCAATACTTTGAAATATCACAATATTTCACAACACAATACCTAGCGATATTCTAAAGCATTAAAAAAAAAAAACCTCAATATATCACTGTCCCTATAGTATCACATGAACCATGAACACATCAACACCAGCACAACAATAACACTGCTGAGTCAAATTTCTGCTTGATCCAAATGTAAAAAAAATGGCAGTAAATCTGCTGGTAATCACCAGGTGGTGATGTTTACCTCATGGCGTTCTTCAGGAGCTCAGGCAGGATGTAATCCAGAGGCAGAGGGATGAAGGGGAAGCGGGCGGCTACGTGTCCATTGATCCTCACCCTGGGGGAGTTACCGTACTGGTGCTCACACAGACGCCTGGTGGACAAAAGTGAAGGTGGGTGACAAAATATTTTACAGCTTTCTTCTTCTTCAAAAGGTTGGAGATCAGTTTGAAATTAATGTCCAAATTTCTGATGCCTCAAACCGTCTGATGTAGCTACTATGTTACCCAGCAGGGGGCGGTTCAGTAAAGCTCAATATCTGATGTACTATTCCAAAGTAGTCAAAGAAAAGAGTGACTTGTCAGGGTGTCTGAAACGAGGTGAGTTTTTGGTTTAGGATTCCTAAAATATTCATAATTTTGTCCTTAACTGCTAAAAGCTATAAACTATAAAAAAAAGTCAGCTCCTGCCAGAAACAAGTAATGCCTCCAATTAAACCAGACCAGAAGCCTGTGTGCTGTTTTGGCAAATTTTTCTTCGGCTTGAGTAAAGGTCACTTAAAGAGGTTACCAAAGGTAAACACGGGTGATAGCTCAGACCTACTCTCCACACACTCAGGTGCTAAAAGCTACCTTTTATCAGATGAACTCCTGACTCGCGTCAGTCAACACAGCGACCACGCAATGGTGTAAAAGTGTTCAGTAAACACAGCTGAGAGAAAGTGCTCACCTGGCAAAGTCCACCCACTTCTCAATGATCCTTTTGGGCGAGAGACGCCGACATATGATTCCCACAAAATCAGGCTGGAAGAAAAACAAGAATGTCATCAAATGGTACGACTACCTCTAAACGTTCTCTGGATCTATTTGTCTCTTTATACGACAAAATAGATACATGATTTATTGCTTAATTACTGTGCGGTGGCTTAGCATGAATCATACGTTATCTTCGTGGAGGGCGAGATGATGTGTGGCCAACATCCTGATCCCCAGACGAGAGCACAGGGTCGTGTCCAAGAAGTTGCGGAGGATCATCTCATCCTGAAAATAAAAGGAGGTAAATGCTCCATTGCTGAGTCATTTTGTATTTAGACATTTACATTTTCTTTTTTTAATTCTTGAAGCTCATATGTGATGGACTCACAGAAAAGTCACACAATCTGGTTCTGAAATACTACGTCGACGGAGTACGGCTCTTGATGTGTATTTATGTTTGATGGACCGGCGGTGTTTGTACCTGGATGTGTTTGCGACACTCCCTGAAGCCCTGGGCCAGCATGGTGACCACGTCTTTGTGGTCGTCCAGAAGCTGCTGCACCAGTTTACAGAAACGTGCCTCGACGTCCTGGTCTTTAATCTGGAAAATAGAAAGATGATCAAGGCTCACATCAGCACTCGCAAAGCAGTTAAGTGCCAAGAAATGACACGAGGCAAACTAATGTCAGGCATGACACACGCATGTACTGTATATATATTTATTCTTAAAAAGTGAATTCAAACTAAACAAGTTGTCTTTTTGTAACTGCCTTCTAAGAAAAATAAGGTAAATTTCTCAGATCAGACTCTGTTACACAAAAGTACATGCAGATTTGCATCTGCCTCATTAGGAACAGAGCAGGAAGCCTGGCAGCTGTTTGCAGAGTGATGCATGTTTATGCAAACGAACAACTTTCATATTTGGTTTTTTTTACTTTTAGACCTGTGCTCTCTTAACAGGAACACAAACATAATTAACACAATCAGTCAACTCATCACTCTTGCATGTCACCGTCCAGCAAATAACAAATGACAACCCACCACACGAACACACACTTGCTGGCGTTTGAGTTTTGTGAACACTTCACATAGACATAATGTATTCCATTGTCCTTCACATCAACTTTAACTTACAAATGTAGACCTCGTTTTTTATCTTTAGCCTAACTCTAGCTAACTCTATAACAGATGTTAAGATGATAAGCAGCGAGTTCCCACACTTACAGGCTGCCAACGTACACTGGAGGTAAAAAAAAACACAAAAAAACAAAACAGTTCCACAACCACTGACATCACTCTTCAAGTCATTTCAACATGATCTGAACTTAAACTTAATGTGAAAACAACAGCTCAGGGGCAAAAGCTATGTGAAGGTAGAACTTATTTTTTCTCACGGTATGGTCCGTAGTTAAGACTAGGTTAGAAAAATGCAAAAAAACAAAACAAAACAACAACAAGTGTTTGGGGTCTGTGTGTGGTTCTGATTAAGAACCGTTTGGCCCGTTTATTCAACAAGAAAACCTAAAGTTCAGGGTTTGTCGTTGTGTTGCAGTGCAGTGGGAAAAACACACAACGGTAAAGGTTTCAGTTCATTCTCGTGAGAACCACTGCTGAGTGAGAGAAGTTGAACTTTTGAACTTGGGTGGGTGGGTGGGTGTGTGTGTGTGTGCATGCGTGGACACTTACCGGAGGGAAGTCAATGAGCATGTGATACGCTCTGATGTAGAGTTCGTGCTGTAAAAACGGGAGACAAACATAGAGACAAAGACAGGGAGAGACTGTAGTTAAGACCAACCAGACTTCCAGACCACAGAACCCACTCAGCCCCTCCACTGGGGCCTGACGCACAACAACATGTGCTTTACATTACAAACAGTACTGCAATGTAAAGAATTGTGAAAAACACAAACACCAGCTCTACACTAAACACCAGCTCTGTTCTTGGACAGAATCTCAGGTGACATTTTCATTGTGTTCATGGAACTGAAACTCCACCTCTGTATAGTTTGTTTTTCTTTCTTTTTTTTCCTGGTGTAACGCACATTAGAGCTGGTCCCATTCAACAGCTTTACGTAAGTGACACAGAAGAGCTTGATGGCAGGAGGGAAGGAATCTGGGTGAAAGGTCAACAACAGGCACACATGGAAGAGGTAGAGGAACAGAGAGACAGACTAGGAGAGACACTAAAAGGAAGACAGAGTGATAGATCAACACAGAGAGGGGAAGAGACGGAGACAGTTACCAACAGAGGGTCAGACTAGGACAAAAACAGAGACGGACAGAGATAAAGAAAAACAGAGAGGCAAAAACAAGGACAGATTCTGCTAGAATCCGACAGAGGAGAGACAGTCTAAGAAAAACAGACGCAGACACTGGTCTAACTTACAGGAACGTGTCTGTATCAACACCTGAATGTGATAAATCGCTGGTACAACGGAGTCTGACTTGTTTGGTTTAACTGCCGAAGGCTGAAGGGCCTCTGTATTTAAGAATCTCGAACCAAACACTAAACAATGGGTGATTGAAAAAAAAGTAAATGTTTAAAGAAGTTCAGTGGAACTGTCAACTGTTTTTTAAAACTACCAGTATGTGTGGGACCAGTTCACATTCAGTTCCATCCCTTAACATAGCAAATGACTCTTGGCTTTAGTGTTAAAACTTACCACTTGCAGAATGGTCGGGTTGCAACCAATGATGAAGGGCAAGCTGCGAAAACCCTTGATGCGGTGAGCGATTCGTACAGGCAGCTCTTTGTGAAGGTATTTGGCACTGCTCTGGAATCAGAGATGATAGACGTTAGGTAGACAGGCAAAAAAAAAAAAAAAATATTGCAAGTGCACTGGGCAGCTCAGACAGAGTGGCTGTAATATTTACCAGGATGTGGTGTCCGTCAGGAGACTTCCCAGAATACAACAAGGTTGCCAAGGTCAGACGCACAGAGGCCTAAAGAACGAAATAAAAGACACAAATTAGGAAAAGCAGGTTTGTGAGACAAGCTTTTTTTTTATCAATTCATTTTTCAATTCAGAGTGGAGCAGCAACAGGTCTTTTCAGGAAATCTGTAAGGTCAAAGTCCAACAAAACAGATCTGATCCGTGGTGAACCCAACCAGCTCAGATATTGATACACTAAGACAAAGTCTGTTAAATCAAGCTGAAACTGGAACAAAGTAGTTTGCAGGAGTCAAACACTATTAACCGAGCCACTATTTATTTCATAGGCTGACGGTGACCGTTTCAGCTTTTATGACCCGTGAAAAGGTTTACTCAAGTGCAGAGACACGAGAGGAGACACACATATGCAGGAGATGGAATGTAGGCATGTGCATGGCAGAAAAACTATGTCTAAGTCATATCACATCTAAGCGACCTTCACTCAGCGCTGCATGTGCTTTCCTCGACTCACTGTAAGTAAATACCTCCGGTGGGCACATAGGGTCAATGTCTTTATTTAAGGGCAGGTTGCTATAAAAAGTAATTATAAATTATCATAAAACACACAAAGCAAAATGTGCAAACATTTTAAATATTGTTTTCATGAAGATGCTTTTGTTTGACAGCAGGTATAAAAACAATGGTTGAACAGATAATGTTCTGCTCCAGGACTTTTTTCCAATTGATATTTACATATTATACCACCCCACAACCTACATTTTATAGCCCTGACCTACTTCTGGGTCACAGCCCTCTTCTTGAGAAACGCAGCAAAACTGTGGGAGTATAAAGTCTGATTTAAATAAACAAACGCTTCTGAATTCGTCTCAGCTAAATCTCTTGTTATTTAACAAGTTAACAAGTTATGAAACAAGTGTGTCTCTCTTGCTCTCGAGGCAGCTAAATGTGTCAGAGGACACAGCGAGTAGTTTTCTTTTTTTTTTTTGGCGATATCAATTACAGTCTGGTGTTGAGCAACGTTCAGGCATCTGTAGTGCAGATGACTAAGGGTCTGAACTGACAGTTTGTTTGGGAGACGAAATCATTTTTTTCAACATAACTGCGTTTGCATTTTACCTTAAAAATATATAAACTGGTAATCGCTACCAGGTAACAAACATAAGCATTTTTATGCGTTCACACAATTTATGAAGGTTGTTTTTACTTCACATGATGGATTTATTTGATTACGTTTTATTTCTTCAGTTTTTAGCTCCTTAAAAGTGCTCAGCTAACTGTTGACAATTTGCGTGAATGTATACGTATCCTGAGAGGCATGCCTAACAAATTAGCAGTATTTGTTCTTGTTTCTAAATAACTATTCGATGATTTAACCTGTTTCCTCGTCTTAATAAACAAGAAATAGCAAACTCCTGGTTATTTCTTGACATTATTGCTAATGTTGAGGCGATTCCTAGATTAAAGCTAGCGGCTAAAAAATGAGTTCAAATCGTTGCTAAAATATAAGTTAACGTTTGCTGCATGGTATAGAAATGAGCACTCGTCATTTAATGAAAAAAAGCCTGTATTTACTATCTTGTCCGTGAAAGCACCATAAAAAGCTAACGGTGTAGCTAACGGCTAACATTACTGTAAACGTGACGGCTTCGTCGCTTCATCCCCTCACAGCCACCACTACAACTGCAGAGTCCCGGCGTTACCAAAGCAAAAAAACATTAACCCGCACTCTTACCTTTTCCGCAGACACATCAATGGCAGACTGGTTGTAAAACGACGTGACAGACTTGGAGCGCTCTCTCGCCTGCTCCGAGAATCCTTGTACCGAGGACGTGGAGCGAAATCTAAGGCTCTGCGTAGCCGCTGGGACTGTTTTGGTGACGGGGGCCAGCATGAGGCTGCCGAGCCTCGGCCCGGCTCTGCAGCAGGCACCGCTCAGCATCTCTGCCGCTCTGCTTGCGAGTCCTGGGCGCATTTAAGAACAATTAAAAAAAGTGTACGGAGCCAAGCCTGTTCAGGTCCTCCCGTACAAGCGGCGAGGTGTTCAAGAAGCTGCTGTTAAGCCATTAGGGTCGGGTCATAATGGCTTGCACAAAGACACGCACCAGTACGTACGGTATAGAGCAGTTGAGAGAGGCCATAGAAAGGGCTTTGTACGCAACTGGCCAGTAGGGGACGGAGCTGTTGCAACGACATGACGCCTCAACCAATCAGTCAGCCAGAGGCGGAGAGAAGCAGCATCAGGTCCCCAGACAACTATAACTCGCTCCCTTTCTCCACCCCACCTTAGCTGTAGCCTACATAAACAATATAACACAAAACATGTGTGTACATTAACATTAATCCATTATTAATAATAGTTTATTTAGATATAACTAAGAAAGGTTTATTTTGACTATAATAAATACTATTATACTACCAGCCGAAAGGAAGACAAATTATAGATGTCAGAAGACTCATTACATACGTGAAAAATGCATACACATAAATACTTTGTTGTCAATGTATGTCTGCTTATGTAATACATAAGCAGACATATATTCTGTTTTTGTTTTTTGCTGGTTTAAATTCCGGTCTACTCAGCAATCACATGAACTTCTTTCTCCTCTTTCAACTATTCAATAGATTCAGAATTAAGTAGAATCAAATTTCAGACATTGATACCAGGGAGGAATAGTCAATGCATTCAGAAATAGCTAAACTTGGTTTACAAAAATAAATATTTTTATAGCATTAACAAAATTGTTTTTAAATAGCTAAACTTGGTTTACAAAAATACATATTTTTATAGCATTAACAAAAAAAATTATTCCTAGACACAAAGGGCGTGATTTATTGAATACGTTTATAATATCTGACACAAAATTTGATTTGCTTGTCATTGGCGACCCCTACCCAATATCTGTTGTACTACAGGAGTGGTTCACAGACTGCGCTAGATGGCAGTGTTGTTTGGTAGGTTACGCTACTAACCCGGAAGTTACTGTAGACAATCATGATGGTTCCCCCTGACAGTAATGACGGTGTTTCTTCATGTGGATGTAAAGGCATTCGGAGGTGTTTGGTCTGTGAAAAACCTACCGAAGGGCCAATTATAGAAGCTAAAGAATCTAAGGTACACATTCCTATATAATATCAGAATTTAATGATTTACATGACAAAAACGGGACACTTTTTGTCTCTTGCTAACACTAGCTAGCTACGGAAGCCCCAACAGGACAGTTACGGTCTGATTTCGACCCAAACATAGCGTTACTATTATTCTACCGTTTTGGTTGGTTATATTACCTTCTTTGTTAGCTACATTAATTGCCAAGTAACGTCAAATGCTTTTGTCCTTGAGTTTTTGTTACGAGCACCTATAAAGCAAGGCAAAAGCTTATAGGTAAATAAAATTTGACGTGTCAAAGATCGTGATATTAAGAAAGTGATATTAAAGAACACGAGACTCTTTAAGCGGTGTTCTTTAAAGGAAAAGTCACATGTTTTTTATGTATTAATTTTAGGTTGTGCATCATTTCCTCTACGATCCTAAAGCTGGGCTTGCAGTCTGTAAAAATGCAGAAGTTGCATCCTTTTCATTTCCTGGAGGCTTCCTGTGGGACAACTTTATATCGGAGAAGATTCTGATAAACAGCATGGACCAGGATACGTGGGCTATATCTCAGTCTGGTCGAAGGAAGCAGGTCATTTATAATATAGTTTGCCCTAATGTACAGTATATTCCTAATGTCAATGATCCATTGAAAATTTTATGCTATATTAAAAATATAATGGTCTCTTCTTTTAATGCAGGACTTTGGTCCAAAAGTAAACTTCAAGAAAAGAAAAGTACGCATTGGCAGCTTTAAAGGACTCCCTGCAGTAAGCCAGAAACTTGTGCAGAGGATGCAGCAGGAGCCACTGCTGGCAAACTTTAAACCAGTGGAGCAGTGTAATCTGGACTATCACCCTAAGCGGGGCTCAGCTATTGACCCACACCTAGATGACTCCTGGCTATGGGGGGAGCGCCTGGTCACTATCAACATGTTATCAGATACGACACTCACCATGTCTCTGGAGGAGGGTCTGCCTGAGATGGGACTTGAAGAGGAAGTCCGAGTAGCTGTGCAGCTTCCTCGCAGATCTTTGGTGGTGGTGTGTGGAGAAGCACGGCACAGGTGGAAACACGCCATCCACCGGGAAGATGTTCAGGAACGTAGAGTTTGCAGCACATACAGAGAGCTGTCTGAGGAGTTTTTACCTGGAGGCCAGCAGAAAGAGCTGGGAGCTCAGCTCTTGAATATTGCCTTGAGTTTTCAAGGAGCTTTAATACAATGAACTGTTAAAAAACATGACAACCAAGGTGGCCCTAGTTGGATGTTTTTCAGAAAGTTATTTTTTAGTTGGCCATAAATGATGTATATGCCACGATGATTGTGCCAATGTCTGTGATCCTGTCGAGACAGAAAGGGACAGATAAAGTTTAATCAAGATAAGAAATGTTGAACAAGTACAGAATTTACTAAATGAAATGTCTGTGGTCTGGTTTCTCTAAAACAAAAATATATTTATACCAAATACCACATTTGTACATTGTGCATTCAAGTTTTTATATTGTTCTTATGGTCCTTTATAAATGTACTGTTATAAATTTAATGTTATAAACGTACTACTGTTATGATTAAAAGGAATGAGTTTTCTCTGCAGCGTGGCAGGGCACTTGTCAACCCAGGAGGAGCTCAGAGTAGAGCCGCTGCTCCTCAATTGAGAGGAGTCAGCTGAGGTGGCTTAGGCATTTACATCATGACGCTAACCTTGGGAGGTGCTTGGGTCGTGTCTCACTGGGTGGAGACCCAGGACACGCTGGAGCGACTCTGTTGCTCGGCTGGCCTGGGAACGCCTCGGGATCTCCACAGAAGAGCTGAAGGAAGTGTCTGGGGAGAGGGAAGTCTGGGTGTCCCTGCTCAGACTGTTGCCCCCACGACCTGGCCCCGGATAAGCAGACAATGATAGATGGATGGTATTACAAAGGAAAACAGTGAATGCTGTGTAATAGAAGGTGTACTAAATGTGTTAAAAAGAATAAGAACAGATTACAATCATTATGGTTGGAAACCTAAGCTTATCATTGTGTGGGAGTAATTGTAATCATATGTGTTGCCTTTAAAATATTGATTTGTTCAATTTCTTTGCCAACTCACGGAATATGCTTTTCTACCGCGTTGTGAGTGAGGCGTGGTCCGTATAGGAGAAGATGAGAAGCAACGAAGGGTGAAAGACGTTCAGAGCTGCTCGTGTCACACAGCTATTATGATACTTTTTATACATGTGGGCCGTTACGTGGGCACATTTACACATATATTTACACGTGTATTTGCACGTGTATACCTGTTAAATGTTTTAGCTTACAGATGAGCACTTGTCAAAGTATTTTAATTTGTTCTTGCACTGCCCTGGAAACAATAAGATGCTACTGATTTAGTTGTACAAGATTGCCCAGCTTCAGCCCTGGGTTGAAATCCCAGTCCAAAGAAATTTAGGAGTTTATTTTTTTAGGCTGGATTTCCTGCTCTTATATATATGAATATGTAAACTACATACAAATATGAAGTTACTGGAAATGCAGTGTTACCAAGCACTTCTGGGTGACAGCCTGGGGGAAGAACCTGTCGTCTGGTATTTGAAAATAGCACAGCTGACTGAAGGGGAAATTTCAAACAGTTTGTGTTCAGGTTGAGTGAGATCTGAGTTGTTTGCTTCTTGTTTCCTCAACTGTAGATGCAAACAAGAAACAAACAAATAAGCCTCAATGCAAAACTAGTGTCGTACTAAAATATAAGATTAATGATATGATTACGTTGCTTCGAGTGAAATGTTCTTCACTGTAAAACAAATGCAACCTCTTGCGCTTTAATTTTGAAAACCCTTACCGGACATCCTTGTTTACTCTTACTGCTGCTCTTAAGTCTGACTGTTGCGCTCGAGCTGTGAGCTTTATCAGCAGCCTTTAACGTAAACCAGGCTCGGCCTCTCAAGTGGGGCTTTAACTCGCCGTCTACGGTGAATGACAGCAAACTATCTTTGCAGGATACACCGCCACAATGTCTTAAGCTCGAGTTCCGATCAGTTAGTGTCTTTTTTCTCTGCTGTAACATGTGTTAGCCATTAGCTGCGTTACTGTACACACAGGCTTTTTGTTCTACTGCTGCTTATTCAGCCTCTGCAGGACAAACTGGCACCGATGTTCAGTACGGACCAGGCGCAAAAATAGCAGTCGTATTTTTTTTCATAGGAAGAAGGAAAACCACCGTGCCGGTAATAGAAAAAAATATTCCCGGTTGTCAACTTCAGCCCCGGGGCTGTCCCCCCCCCCGGTCGCAAAGCGATTTAATGGCCGGAAATCCGCGGAGGGGCGCCGGTCTCATCGGCTTGATGAAGGACGCCTTTCAGCCGCACCAGCAGCCTCTCCAGCCTCACCAACCTGCCGTGGTCGACAAGAAGCTGGTAGAAAAATGTTGGAAACTCATGGACAAGGTACCGTGAACTATAAAACGCTGTTTAAAAGGGGTATAAAAGACCCAAACTGGGAGTAGTCACTGTGCCACGTCCGTCTTTTTCATCACCACTGAGTCAAAAGGTTTGGAGATGACATTTTTAAACGTTAACTTTTATGCACAATCGCATACAGAACATCTCCCCTGTATCACTTATTATTTATTCATCCACTCTGAATAGTTGATTCAAGTATTTGCCTTATCACTGTGTACAAGCCATTAATGGTAACAACATGCATATTAAGCGTTATCTACCTGGTAACATCTGATTCCACACAGTATTACATTGTAATACATTTACAGTGTTGAATATTAATGAATAAGGCTATTTTTAACGACAAAAACAAGGCACTCAACACACACAACCATTGTGGTTACTAATAATAACACATTTCTTACCAAGCCGTAATGTATGTTTTTCCAATATTATCTTTTCATTTAATGAAGACATTTCTTAAAAATATTCCTGAGTCAATTTTAAGGCTAGACCCAGAGTGGTGGCACGGAGGAGAAGTGGTTTGTGCCCTTACCTAATAGCAAGAAGATCACTGGTTTCAATCCCTGGTCTGCCTGTATGGACTTTGCATGTTTCTTCATGTACTTCCCATAGTACAAAAAATGCAGGCTTGCTTACATTTTTAAGCTAAGTTAACCATTGTTGTGAAAATTGGTGTGAATACTGGTGAAATTTGGCCTTGTGAATTCTCCAGGGTGGAACCCAGACTTGGCCCAAATGCTGGGACTGGCTCTAGTCCTCGCGTGATGCTGATAATAATTGTGTAGTAAAAAAAAATGTATTCTGTGATTCAAGTTTTTGAAACCCTAGGATTTATATGTTGGTGGGTCCATTGTTTCAAGATTTTTACTTTTGAATTTCTAGTGTATCAGGATGGATTTGTTGCTGTTGCATCTTAGAATAGATAAATTTCAGCATCCCTTTTCACACACTTTATCACAATTTTTTTTTTTTTTGCCTGACCCAATTCTTTTTATTAGGCACTCAGTTCTACTTACCAAAAATACTCCAGTTATACACAAAGCATACATCATAACACCACATAACACAGCATGAAAAACACTACCATATATTAAGGCAGAATGGTTATATCCAAAGATATGTGGCATTCAAACACAAACTGCAGTTTGAGATGAGAAGTGGAGGCAACACATTCGACATTTATCTTGCATGTAAAACCCAGGCTGAGCACAGACCTTCAAAGCTGATATTAAATGGTATTATCCAGTCATGCGGTCTGCCAATTTGTCCTTCAAAGACCCACAATTTAAGAATAATACTATGATTCAATTCCAATACCTACCAATTGAAGCCTGCAATTAGTCTTTGCGTCACGATCTACATTCTATCCCAATGTAGGTCTGGGATCTTTTTATTAATATGGTTTGAATATATGATAACATATACTCAACACTACTATTTTATGATCCTTGTTATGCTTTATCTTCTTCTTCATCATAACTTACAAGCTTTGTTTTTTCCCATGTTGCATCTGCTTGCATTTTTTCATAGACCTCTTATGTTATATTTAAACGAAACACGATCAAATTCACCAAAAATAAAGGTAGTTTAAGCATTAACCGCCAGTAGCTTACACTTGGATACTGTATCAGGAACTGAGACTCAAAAAAACAAATGGCAGCTGTAGAAGAAGTACAGTCAGTTTCAAGAAATAATTTCATTAGACTTATTTTTGACAAATTAGGTCACAGTGATAAGGTTGTCCTCCTTGAGCTATAAACATTGTGAACCAAAAAGCCTTTCGAAAAAACACCCTATAATTGGTTTTAACAAAAAGACCCATAGAACTGATGTACTTGTGGAGAAAGTTCTTTCTACTGGATGTTCCTCACTGATTAAGACTACAGTATTTACAGTTTTAGAGAAGCAAAAGACAGTAGCCATGCATATAAGGACAGAATTTTAAATTAGGAAGGTCAGCTCAGTTTAAAATGTGGTTATCTTATTTTTATTACAGCTGGTTTCAATTTCCTTTTTTTTAAAGAAAGGTCAACATTGTGGTAGTGATGTTTCATTCCTCTCACTTTAATTTTTTAATTTATCAGGGGAAAGGAATTTTGTGGTGCAGAGTTTTGCCTGTCATGTGCCCAAAACTGAATGAAAACATGGCTATGATGGCCACTGAACAGCCCATGTGGCCATTGTGGCTGGGCAATTTTGGAGACTTTAAATGTCAAATGTTTTGCATCTGTACTGGCCCTGTGTTGTATCTGTTGACCTCTGGTGTTCCATCAGTAGCTAAGATTTGCATGATGTTTGAAATCATTTTACTGATAATTTTGACACCTGATTTTTTTTTTTATTCAAATAAGAAGATAATTTATCGGTGTGACTTTGCAACAAAAGCACTCGTTCTTTCCAAATGCGAACTATAATAATTTGGACAGTATACGTGTATATGAAATGGCATCCTGGGATGAGCGTTTTAAGGATATGGACAGTTTAAACCACAATATCTGACAGCATATTTCATGACAGAAGTTGGCCATTTTTTAAATTATTTTCTTTTGGGGGAGTAGCTTTTTTGCAGCCTGTTGGACTGCAATGGTACTACAGCCAAAGCAGCATATCATAGAATTTGAAAGAATCAGTTTTCAGACTCCTCGACTCCATTACTGGAGAAAGTTTTTTTTCCTTTGAATTTCCCTTTTATTACAACAGGGATCATTTCCCCCCACACTGACCATTGTGGTTACTAATAATAACACATTTCTTACCAAGCCGACTGCTGCATTCTAAAAATGTGATACTGTGGCTTTGACGAATGCAGAGTATCGTGAGCATTTACATAAGCCATAAGATGGCAGACAGTGTTAATCATGCGCAATACTCATGGCTTATACAGAAGCATTTCCTGTTTGAGAACAGAGATCTTTGCTATGAACTTGGTTTGAATATATATTGACTAGATAAGCAATCTTAGACAAGCACAAGTTAGAAGAAACTGATCTCAAAATAACTCTAAATGTGAGATGTTCTTCAAAAGGCTGATGAGCTACGCATACTGTACTCTCTACCATTGCCAGAAGGAATGAACTGTGCTAGTCTCTACCATTGCCAGAAGGAATGAACTGATAGGAAAGTTTCCCGTGTCTCACTGGCCTTTTGTGCTTCTTCTCCAGGTGGTACGTTTGTGCCAGAACCCCAAAGTGGCTCTGAAGAACAGCCCGCCCTACATCCTAGACCTGCTGCCAGATACCTACCAGCACTTACGCACCATTCTGTCCCGATACGAGGGTAAAATGGAGACCCTGGGGGAAAATGAGTATTTTCGTGTGGTCATGGAGAACTTGACCAACAAGACGAAGCAGACAATGAGCCTTTTTAAGGAGGCCAAGGAGAAAATGTATGAGGAGAATTCCCAACCCAGGTACACCAATTTCTTTCTTTTTTTATTTTTTTATTTTAGCAATTTAATTTCCTTGAAGCAACCCCAAAGGTCCCCTTTGGTAAAGAAAATAAAATGGCATTTGAACATGTATAATTAAACATGAGTTTAACAGATATTGTAAATGGATAAATACAGATAAAGAGATGAAAAATGTCTATTGACTTTACAAAAATTGTGTTGATCATAAGCGATATGTGACTTTATCCAAAATGATTCAAGTGACTTCTGTTTAAATCTCCTCTCTAAATGGTGGTGATGCGATTAAAAAGTTGCATAATCACATTCACTTCCCTCCATTTCTCAGAAAAAGCAATGAGTAGGCTAAAGGGCATCCTTCCGACATGTCGGTCTGATATGTATCAAGACTTTCCACAACAAGTGTCCAAACTGGGCCAAGCCAGTTTACACCAAATTACTTGCTACCTAATTAACTGCTAGATACAACACAAAGAAATACAAACCATCAAAGATGAGTAAAAATACACATTTCAGATTAAGTTAACAGTAACAACATCCTTTAGAGTCCCTCATATTTTTTTTCAGTCTGATGTTTAAAAATAAAAAGTGCTGTGTAAAACAAATCGATTCGTCTTGAAAAGTATGTCACATATTCATTTGTTTTCTCTTTTCCTTCTTTGTTTCCTTCCCAGACGAAACCTCACCAAACTGTCTCTGATCTTTAGTCACATGCTCGCAGAGCTAAAAGCCATCTTCCCCAATGGCCTGTTTCAGGGCGACAACTTCAGAATCACCAAAGCTGACGCTGCAGAATTTTGGAGACGGTCATTTGGGGACAAGTGAGTTTCTCCTTTTCTGTTAATAAACATTCAACCAGCCAAAAGTGGAGTTCATGAGCTAAATACAAGTTTCCCAATCATCATTACTGGAAACTTCCTCTAAAATGTTTTTTTCTGTCCTCTGACAAAGGACCATAGTGCCGTGGAGGACATTTCGTCAGGCTCTCCATGAGTTTCACCCCATCAGCTCAGGCTTAGAGGCCATGGCTTTGAAGTCCACCATTGACCTCACCTGCAATGACTACATCTCCGTCTTTGAATTTGATATATTCACAAGACTTTTCCAGGCAAGTTTCTATCAATATATTCAAATTAATTCTCTCCATACTATTTTAACCCTACTCTGTCAGCCACAACACCCCCTGCTGGTTGAACTGATCCACATTTTAGGGATAGTGTCCTTGAGCTAATGTTCTTCCATTAGTAGGACTTAGGAACTGACAACAGAATAATCGAGAGTGTCTTTTATCCCACTTTGTGATAATGTCTTGCATCGTCCTACCATTCGTTTTGATGTTAAAATGTTTTTAGCCATGAATATTTTAGTGAATAAAAAAGGCATTGAGAGATAAAACATTTGTAATTTGATCCTCGTCTGATGTCTGAGAGAAGACCTCCATCGACCTTATGAATCTTTCAGTGAGTTTGTCTCTAACGCAGAGGTACAGACGCTGCCAAAATAAATTTCACATTCACATCACAGTCAATAATGGTACTGCACTGTAGGAAGCTTAAATTGATTTTGCTTGTTGTATTTTAGCCATAATTCACACAATACTTTTTTTATTCTTGTTCTAAGTGCTGGAAGCTCATTTTCATCATTTGACTAGAAAATAAATGTTCCAGTTACATACATATAAAACAAAAAACCCTTTCAAATAATCGTGTTCTGTTTTTATTTAACAATTTGTTTCTTTGTGAATGTGTTTGTAGCCATGGTCGTCCCTGTTAAGGAATTGGAACAGTCTGGCTGTCACACATCCTGGTTACATGGCCTTTCTAACGTATGATGAGGTCAAAGCCCGGTTGCACCGGTTCATCCACAAACCTGGCAGGTTAGACACAGATAACCTGATGTTAATCTGCATGAACCAGAAAAGACCAAAGGAAATGATTTCCATTTACTGAACGTCTGACTGTTTTGAATACATGTTAAACTCTAAAACTGTTGGTTTACAATGCTGCCTGTCTCCACAGTTATATCTTTAGACTCAGCTGTACTCGACTGGGCCAGTGGGCAATCGGCTACGTAACAGCTGACGGCAACATCCTGCAGACCATCCCCCATAACAAACCGCTTTTCCAAGCCCTCATTGATGGATACAGAGAAGGATTGTGAGTCCTGCTATAACTGGCTGTCAAAGCACAAGTTTTGATGGATCTATACACTCCCCTAAGGTTGGGTTTTCAAAAGGTTTTAGGTTACCACGAGACAGCTTTTACAGGACAACCAGTGTCATAATGGAAATTTCTCAGACAAACTACAAATAAATGAACGCACTGCACAAAAGTTCCAGCCCTGAGTGGCTATGATGGGAGTGATAATCAACTGTATCCATCAGGTGAAGCCAAGGTTGTTACACTGTTCCTGTTGGCCATCAGTAAAAAAAATGCTGTCTCTGTTGTTTTGATAAACACAATATTTAAATGTCTGCTGTTGATGGGTAGGTTATGTTGACAATAGGTTGGTTGAGGTCATGAATACAGGCTCCAGGCTTCCATCTGGCAGCCTTGCAGTCAGTAGGCAAAACCTACAGTGTAAGTTGCTTTGACTACACATTAGAACTAGAAAAGTTTGATGCAAGTAAAGATCATTTACTGGTAGAACTGCAGTCTGGTATCTACAGCCTACAGTACTGCAGAAACCCCCCTACTCAATGTTTCACTACAGACAATAACTTCCAGTGTTTGGCCAGCGGGAAGGAGTGGGATGTAGTGGCTGGATTTTCTCAAATTGTCTCTTTCTATTCTTGGTTTAGGCAAAACTTTCCATCCCTTGTGTTAAAGCTTATGAAATCAACTTAAGAAACATGGCTTTTTTACTTAGAAAAAGTAAAAAATTAGAATCATTCACAACATATAAAACAACCTAAGGAAATAGAAAATTGTTACCTTGCTGAATCTGTGTGTTTTTCCTTGCTGTTTTTCAAGCTATCTGTTCCCTGATGGACGTGCACAGAACCCAGACTTAACAGGTCTTTGTGAACCTTCTCCACAAGACCATATCAAAGTCACTCAGGTTGGGCTTCATCTAGTGATAAACCAGTCAAAAATCATACATTCTGGTCATCATAAATAAGTAACATCTTGTGAAGTTCAATTTTAATATGACAGGATTTTACCTGCGACCTATTTAAACATCCTGTGACTCCTCTGCTTTCTCATGTCTCCCTGTAGGAGCAGTATGAGCTGTACTGTGAGATGGGCTCCACATTCCAGCTCTGTAAGATCTGTGCAGAGAACGACAAGGACGTGAAGATCGAGCCCTGCAGGCACCTGATGTGCACTTCCTGTCTGACTGCGTGGCAGGTGGGTCTACTGTACTTCATCTCTTAAGACTTCTTTAATGTTTTACAGTGTGTAACTGTGCCAATATATGTGCCTAAGACATTTACAGTGTGTAACTGTGCCAATATATCTAAGACGTATCACCCAAAGCAAAACTGTACAAAAAAGTAGCTTCTAAACTGATGCATCAACTCAATTTTTGAGGTTGCGAACCCTGGTTGCAGGGCTGCTTGCAACTTTAATATTCTTCCCATTAATCCCACTTATTTTGTCAACATTTCAGTCTGAAAATGTTCAGTCAGCTACAGTGTTTTTCCAGACCTTTATTTACATTCTTGCACTAATTCACAGAACCATTTAAAAAAGTCTGATTTCCTAAAGACTATTTGTATTTCACGTGATATATTTAGTTTCACCACTCTTTGAATCTAGAAAAAGATAAAGCTATTAGCATTTACACCTTTGTAAATATATATGTGAAGCTGCAATTTATTTTCAGTCAGTTTATGCATGTTTACCATTACAGATCTTTACTGATCCTACCCTGGGTTGCTTGCAATGTTGTTACAGAAGTACAAACTTCAACAGTATGAGCTCAAGTTCAACAATGGTTTTAATCAGTAAATATTATCAGCCACTTCCTCTATGCTATTTTAGTTTAAGTGAAACGTGCAACTTCCTGCACATGTGAATCGCGTGCAATGCATTGCTACCACAGGATAGATGATGCTAGATAAAAAGAGAAATAGAAAAGAAATTCCCATTTCAAAATAGAAATGAAACACTAAAGGGGCAGTTGTGACATCACAGAGTTTTCAAAAGTAAACCAAAGGCCAGCAGGAGAAGGATGCGCAAATGGCAAATATTTAAGCAAAGAATTTCCAAAAATGTGTTTGCAATTTAAGTGGCCTATTTTTTGACGTAACAGGATGAAAGTTTGGTTTTGTTCAGTTGTTATGAGCATGTTGCAGAAACCACAGCTACGTGCTAGTGCTTACCTAAAGATCTTATCGGCTGATTTTTTATGTGGTACAGGAGTCAGAAGGTCAAGGCTGCCCCTTTTGCCGCTGTGAAATTAAAGGCACGGAGCCCATCGTAGTGGACCCCTTCCACCCTAAAGCCACCGGAGCCTCCTTTGCTGGTTTCCAGGGGTCCAGCAGAGCAGAAGCTGCTGGTAATGATGAAGATGATGATGATCGCATGGAAGATCAGCACCTTATCATGAGCAGGCTGGCCTGCAGCAAGGTAAGTGTCACATGTCCAAAATGTAATGTAGAATTAAAGGACTTTATTTTATGTTATTTATTCCTATAATTATTTATATTTTCAAGTATTTATTCCTATAATTATTTATATTTTCTTATATATTTTCAAGAGTTTTATTAATGAAGTAGTGTATCCCATGCCTGAAGGACAATAAAACAAACTAAAGTTTTACTGATGTTTCATAGTAGGTCTATACGTAATGTGTGCACACAGGTGGAACGTCCAGCATCTCCAGTGTCTCAGCTACCTCCAGTGCCCCCTAGACTGGACCTCCTGCAGCAGAGACCCTGCACCTCCCACAATGCCCTGGCCCAGGGTGCAACAGCTAAGGTAAATTTGTCGGAGTAAACAGTAAAACTACAGACATTGAGAAAATGTTTGTGGTTTTAAGATGAATGTTTCAGGTAACTTTACCGTCTCCTCCTACCCTTTCAGATTGCAGCCACTCACAGAGACAAGCCTCTACCTCTGCCTCCAGCCCTTAGAGAGCTACCCCCTCCTCCTCCACCAGAGCGCCCCCCTCTGGTAGGCCAAGACTCCAGACTCCAGAGGAGACCTCTGCCCTCCACTCCAGACCAGTCCACCTGGGCTTCCAACTACATGGTACCACGGCCTGCAACTAAGGCGCCATCAGCCTTTATACAGATCAACGACATCAGTGGAGAAGGAAGTAAACCTCAATCAGCAACAAATGCTGTCTACTGCCTGGCTGCAAGGTATAAAGCTATGTTAACATCTTAACATATTGTGTCAGTTCTGCATTTACATTTTTTTATATACTTTTTAATTTAGAAAAAACTACAACGAAAATTAGCATATTTAAGAATACAAAACCAATAATGTTAGATCTATCATTGTTTACAGATGTAGTTGTTCAAGCATGTGTTTGTGTTGTGTATGTACCAGGGCCCTGCCACCATCTGTGGCACTGAGCGGGGAGAAGTCGCCGTCGTCTGACTGTGATGAGAATGAGTACATGAGTCCCACATCTCTTCCAGCTCACGGTGCTTTGTCAGTCATAACAGGCTCCTTGGTTCCTCCTCCACCACAACCACCACCACCAGCAGCCCAGATAGACCACAATGATGTCAGGTAACAACAACTAGGACAATACGATGGAATATATTCTGCTCCAACTTGCAAAGCACCAGAATAAATGGACCAGGTTCAGGCTATACATACAGCATATAGTGTACTGTATACATTTTCAACAGTGTTAAGTTAATGTCCACCAGGTGGCAATGTTTGTCCAGGCTTTTGCTGGTCAAGAAAAATCTGTAGAATGTATCTAAAGCTGTAAAAAATATAGGATTGTCAAAAAAGCCTGTTAAGGCACCAAATCATTACTCTACTAACCCTGCACTCACCATTGATGTTTTGTCAACAGTGAAAAGGCTGACAGTGACTCTGAAGACCCCCAGGTCTACGAGTCCATGTGTAACATTAAGGCCCAGGCTGGATGCACCGAGATGGCACAGTCCTCTGATATGGGTAAAACACCTCAGTAAATTTATTTTTTATTTTTTTAAATGTGTTCCAACCCTGGTCTAGATAACAATGGCAATTTTTTTATTTTGTTTTATTCTAGATCATCCTCAACATACCACAGCGGGTTTCCAAGACAAGACAGAAGACTCAATGCAGGAAGAGGCTTACATTTATGACTCTCCTAGACCAGTCATCCCTCCAGCTCCCACCAGAAGAACCCTGTCAGATATGAGTGGACCCATGGCTGCTTTTAGTGCTCTCAGCATTGACAGTGCAGTAGAAACTGGTAAGTTTTTGGCATTGTCAGAACTGTCTAATTAAGGGTTCTAAAACAGTGTCCAGATTTTAACAATTTCTTTTAAATGTTTCCAGGTATGTTTGTTTCAGCTGGTGTTGATCCTGAACGTCCTCCCAAACCCCTCCCGCGGCGAGCAAACTCTGACCGGAGGCCACGTCCTTTGAATCGTGAATATCCTGCCCCTTTGCCAGAACTCCCTGGCACCTCCTCAACCCTGCCCCTTCCTCCTCCACCTCTCCCTCCTGCTCCCACAGTAGCAGGAAGCATGGCCCTCAATGGTGAGATTGAATGCCTAATGTCACAGGGCTACTCTATCCAGGACATCCAGAAAGCTCTCATGATCGCTCAGAACAACCTGGAGACAGCCAAGAACATCCTTCGAGAGTTTGTCACCATCCCCTCTGCGGCGCACATCGCCACTTAGGCACAGTCTTCACACACCCAGTGATACTTCTCTCCTGTTTGGTCGTCATTCTGTTCTCACTTTGTGCCAATATAATAGGTAAATGGATAGAATTAACCAAGCACTTTCATGCAGGGCTATGAGCACAAGTTCCTGCCATTCCTAGGATGTCCACTGAGGGGTAAGGCTGTGATCATGTCATATCAGAAAATAGAAAAAAAAAATGTCAACGTGACATTCTATGGATTTCCTGATTAGCCTTTTGGTCCTTGAACATTTCACTTAAGGTATTGGCTGATACCAGTCCAAAATGTTTGACGACATTTTAATGTGGGAGGATCAATGTAAGAGATTAAAAAATGACACTGGTGAGCGAAAAGGGGATTTTTCAGGTTAAACTGTATTAAGTGCACCCTCTGCTGGAACACAAAGTAACTACTTATGACATTCTGGGGTAAACTTGAACAAAGGGAAAACCTGAAAAATTTGAACCTTGGCTCCCTATAAGATACTTATTACAACATAATATTCCCTTATGTTTGCGACTTTATCTTCTGACATTAGCTGCGTTCATAATGCAACTGATAGAATGGCAATGAGATTTTCTTTTTCCATCTCAAATCCACTTGAAAATGCAAAGAGTATAATACTTAAAAACAAAATGGGATGTTGTTAGTTAGTTCCATCTTATTCTTAGTAGCCACTAAATCATGTTCACATTTTGGTGAGATTGGAGGTTTTGGCCAAGGCAATTGCAGTATCATTTAGCTGTTGGGGAAAGCATTTCATTTCAAGGCTTCAAAGTAGCATTACAGTGATCTGATATGGCGCTATTGCAGCAAACAAGTCCTTAAAATTAGTCCTTGAAAATCTTGTTTCTGTAGCATTGCTTTGACCTCGTTACAGTAAGGTTTGAGGCCTAGTTTACATGAATCGCTTTTTTAAACTGTCATCCACATAAGTAATGGGTTTTGGTCACTGCTTAACCTTGCTGTTATGAAGAGATAGGTCAACTGTGGGGTTTATAATACAAGTACCAGTGTTATGAAGAGATAGGTCAACTGTGGGTCAACCAATTTTTTTCAGCTCTAAAAAATGTCTGCCCATAAAGGACCGATAGGAGTACAGATACTATCTAGATGGAGATTACACGACATTGGTCTAGATCCGAGGTGGATTTATATAAGACACTTCTCAGAAGAAGAAGTTGGACTAATCGAATAGACAAGAAAGTCCAAGTTAATTTGCATAATCTGTTTCATCTAGTCATTTTAGTAAATCATTCCTGGTACTGGAGGATACAGGTTACTGAGCAGTGGAAATGTGACATAATTGTTTGTAGACAGGCAAAGGGAAAACTTCAAATTTCCAACATGCCTGCTTACCTGTGACATAAGCCTAAATACCTTTATTCATTAAGCTTTGGGTTGTTTTTTTTTTTTTTTTATATGACTCCGAGACTCACCCCTGGCAGCTGCTTTATGGTGCTTTTACGGGCTTGTCTGCAATGTTATGGCATTCAAATATGAAGTGATGTGAGTTACAGTCAGGAAATTAGTAATTAACTCCATAGTGTGTCTATGTCTGTGCGCGTGTGTGAGTGTTGATGCTTATGTACTGTACGTGAGTGTTCAGTTGCAGTGCAGTATTGCAAGGTTCTGTACGTGTCTCTGTGGCTCTCCCTCATTTTTGGATGACTCCATATCTTCTCTCAGTCCTAAATCAACAATAGGTCAAACTTTAAAAAAAATAAAATAACAAGATAAATGTCTCTGTACTTTAAAAAAACATGTCATGCTGTGTGGTACTAACATTGGCAGAATTCTGACAAGTTGATTGATTTCTCTGGTTTACTGAAGGCTGATTTATTTTGTCAAAACTAATGTATTGTCGTGTACTTTTTTTTGTACTTTTACAACATTGCCATATTTATATTAAGAACATTTAAATATCTGACAAATTATGGCGAAAGGAGTCGCACTGAGGCAAACAAAAATAGTGGACTCAGGTACTCAGTATTAAGTCAGGGTTCTATAAACTAAGTAATGACAGGAAGTTAATTATGACTGTATTTTCTTGCTCATCATATTGAATTTACATATTCTTTTAAATCGAGTCTTTGTTATTAGTCCACCCAGGGATTAGTGATCAATTCATGTTTCTGGTCTAATCACATACGCCCTTTGCCATTGGTTAACATTGGTAAAAGTTAATTAATTGGCCCCCAAGGTATAAGGCAGGGCCCCCATGTAGATCACACAGCTATTACATTGACGGCCTAGCAAGTCTCAATTTTATTTTTTATTTATTTGTGCCACAGTGGAGAAAATTACAGCGATTTCTAATTCTACTTCTTTTGTTGAATGATAATATCAGTTTTGTAGGAATTACAGAGGCGTTCTAAATAATAGCGGCGAATGTGTCGATGTGGGGTGGGCTTAAAAATATCCCTATCTATGTTGCAGTCCTATCTTTGAAGACCACAGGGTTAATTTTACATCAAAAGTTAATTCAGTAATGTTGTAAGTTAAAACATACATACATGAACTCTGTTTCATATAAAACTTACACTGAGATTATTCACTAGTGATACGACACGTGCAATTCATCCCGTTTGCCTTCTTCGAAACAGTTTCTGAATGTGCCTTCAGTCAATCTCAGTCTGAACCATTCAACAGAGAAAAAAACAAAACTCTGTCCACCTTACTTTGGGCCTTTAAGTTCTCACTGAAGATATTTACTGACAGCTTGGAGGGGGGTCTTTTAATGTTTGGGCATTAAATAATTAGCCAACTTTTTAAACTATATACATCCATAAAACCAGGTTGATCCAGTGTGTTTTCTCATATATAAACAGACTAACTAAAGCTAACTAAGAAAATGAAACTTTTAAGCCATGACCTTGGTTTTTTTTTTTCTTGGAATTGGGAAATATTTCCTCTAATACACTGTAAACTGTTAAATTATACATATGTCTAACAGTAAATACTAGGCAGATGTCTGAGGTTTCTTGTTACGTTTTTACTGATATTTGTTGGATTTTGTGTTTTCCTTATATACAGATTTTATTTATATTTAAATTTTACTCCATAACTGTTCTGACTTAAATACAGTGCAAGGGCTGGTAAAAAAAAAACAAAAACAAACACTTGTGTCAAGGTTAGACTGTCTGCACTGCCTCCACATGCAGCTGAGGTCTGTAAATAAGGCATGAGATTTCGTTATCTTGGTGAAACCTCACAGAAAGTTACAGCTTTAAAGCCCTGAACAAAAAGCATGTGAAAGCAGCTAGTTTCTTTACAGCGTCTTCTCAGCCTCTGTTTGATACAGAGGGTACAAGACCTTAGTTTATCTGAGTTTTCAATTACCCTATCTAGGCTTTTACTACTTAACAGGACTAACACTCTGGGCCATGAACGATGACAGGGAAAACAGTTGTGGGAAGAAGAAAAAACACATGCATACAAATACACTCCCTGTTAGCCAGTTTGATAAGCTCAGACCTCTGGTTAATGATATATATACATATATAACATTGTTAACTCGCCTTTTCAACAACAACAAAACGTACCTACTAATGTCTTCATTGCTTTTGTTTGCTATGTAAATATGATTTTATTTATTGTCTTTTTAATTCCCCCTGTGTTGCCATGTTCTCATGCCTAAGCCATTAAGATTTTTAATTAAACAGTATTTTCTTTAACATTTGACGTGTGTGGTTTGTCTTTCATGACTGTTGGCTGAATTACTTGTTGTTAGGAACACTTAAGGGGTGGCTCTGAAGTACAGTGGGCCTTCGAGATACGAGCTACCCTCGCTGCGTTATTTTACCTGAAGTACAGTGGGCCTTCGAGATACGAACTACCCTCGCTGGGTTATTTTACCCATAACAATAATACAAAATTTTTCTTGATTATAAATTATAAATGTAAATACGGGCCATAACTACGACTCTCCAAATATTTAAAACCAAATAACACAAGAAGAGAAACATTCAGCACTATACAACTATACAGTAAAACCAAAGCAAATGTCATCAAATCTCCAAAATCAAGACTTACCTCAACAATAGATGTCGCTGGACAGTGATTCCGCTTTACGTTGTCCTTCCGTTCATGTTGTAGGTGACCCTTCCGGTCCAGTTCCTCTGACATATTGGTGAACTTGCGTTTATACCACTGCATATCTCGAGTGTGGTAAACAAAATGTCCACATGAAGCCGTAATCCATCTCTTTCCGGACTGAGCCAAAAGAGTCATAGTTGAAGTTCTTCGAAGTTAATTTCTGTCGTTAACGGCAGAAACACCATTCTGTATCTTGACGCCGCATTACAACCAGTCTCTGTTCAAATACCATACGACAAACAAACGTGCTAGCAAGGTGTCGCTCGCATTTAAACTTGCTCACAACGTCGTCTCCTTCTTTCACTTTCACACCAGTTGTCGGTCGAAGCTGAAGTTTGACATAAACAGTTACATCCTTCCCAATTCGTATGCATTACTTTTCTTTTAAACGTTATTTTATTCCAATTCCCTGGACGTCGTCCACGCCTGGCGTACGTCTGTCAAATTCGCGCGCACTTCAATACTCACGCCAGACATTGGTCGTTGGTCCGACCAATCAGAGATAAGAAGAGAAAAACCAACGCTAAAGCTACACACATGAACGCGCTCTTCTTAAAGTTTTAAGGATTTTCTTACGGAACCCTTAAAGTGACATAAAGGAGAAAATGTTTGTTTTGTGCTCTAACAATTGCCCTTCAAATTGGCCAACATATCTGTAAAAACTATTGGAGTGTTTTGTTTTAATGTTAATTTGGAATTTAAGTTTCCAAAGTGAGAACAGTTTAGAAGAATACAATTGTTCTATTGTATTTATATACCAAAATACTGTCTTCCAAAAGATTAGTAATATATACATTTTATACAAGGTCACACAAACACATAATAGTGGGTTTTTTATCTTCTTTCTTTCTGTTGTCACTGAGGTATGTGAGTTAAAATATAATCAGTGGCTTTTTGTGCCCACAGGGCTCAGTAGGAACCAAAACATTAAGTTCAGTCCCACAGTGAGTAGGCAGGAAGAGGGAGCTCTGCTCCCAGACTGCTATCAGCAGGAGCAGGAACCCATATTAACAGTAGCTCACATTTCCAGCTGCAGTGAGGAGGAGGAAGGTCACAAAACAACACTGACATCTGCAACAAATTCAGGATCAGTAAGGTCTGCAGAGAGAGAACATAATCTTTTTTCCCCTGCTGTCCAGAAACAGAGGCTTTTATAATTGCAATTTAATGATGTATTATAATGTAGTACTGGTGCAAAAAATATATACCTCTACTCTGGCTGCCTACCCTTATACATATTCTACACCACTCTCAAGTAGTCTCACGTGACTCTTGACTTCCTCATTAAGGAACTAAAGAAAATTTGGCACGGATGAAATCTTTATACTACAGTATGACTTTTTTGATGAGGCGATTTGTTCTTATTTATCAAACCAGCGGGGAGAAAGTCTGTGTGTGTGTGTGTCCATGTGTGAATGTGTTTTCTCTGCCTCTCACACTTCCACGGCCAAGAGTGCTAGTCGCCCCTAATGTTTTCTCTGCCTCTCACACTTCCACGAGTGCTAGTCGCCCCTCTAGTGTTCAAAGGCTGAGATCAAGTGAATGTGGAAAGTCAAAGTGACTTGAGATCTCGTCCCCTCTGTGTCAGAGGCTAAGAAGAAACATGAAAGACATCAAGCTTCTTTGAAATGCTTTTTGTTCAGGGCCCTTAAAGCTGTGAGGTCTCTGTATTCACAACCAGACAAAAAAAACTTGTCCCACCTCTGCCTCCTGCTGGGATTAGTCTGAACTTCACACATCAGATGTTAATATTGAATTCACTGCATCCCATGTCCAGCGCCTCCCTGTATGTTAGAGCGTTATTAGTTATTAATTTAATATAAATATCTATTTAGAAATGATTAATAAGACCTTGTTTTATTGTCTATTTAGAAATGATTAATAAGACCTCATTTAAAAAGTATAAATAAGGTCACTGCCCACTGTCTAACGTGAACGCATTTTCCAAATGGAACTTTTATTTGGCAACATTTTCTTGAAAAAAATATAAAAAGACAGAAGCAATAAATGGTGTACTCAATTTACACACATTCAGAACAGAAAATGCAATGGTGACTTTTAAAAGTGTTTTCCCATTGGTTAAAATATCACAAAAAAAAAAAACTCTTGACAAGCAGAATGACTTTTCAAATCAATACAGATGTAGTTGAACCTTTTTCTGAACAGTAAAGGCGGCAAAATATCAAACCCTTGTCAAACATTTTTGCCTGAGGAGAATCTGTTCCTGGACACTTCTGAAACATCTAAACTCTGAAACAAAAACATGAGCAAAAAAACATGTCACAACTGTGATAACGCTGTTGCAAGTCATCGCGGCAATGTAGAAAAACTTTTTTTTTTAGTTTTACATTCTATACATAGAACAGACACTGAGAACAAACCAAGAAAAACAACAAAAATATTTCAGTGTATGAAGCAATTCAAAAACAGACACAGCAGCTCACCGACCTCTGACCTTCTTTCACGGTCACCTCTAGCTGGTCTCAACACCAATGTATTTACAAATGGGAAAAGGAAAAAAGACAGTAGTTTGTCAGATTGTGGTGCCAGAAAAACAAACGCCTTTTAAAGACCTTATTCTCACAGAGCATAATTGGTCACTTGGTCTACGAATAGTAAAAAATAATTTGCCTGTCGTGGCCCATAACTGGACGTATGATCATATGCAACATCTAAGCCTGAATAAAACAAAAGCTGTTGGTCTGGTTCACTGTAGCCCACTCCTACACTTGAAAGCCAGATATGGCCAGAATCAATAACATAACCAAACCCATTATAGCCCAGATCTTGTATCCAGTCAGGGCGGGCCACTTGTTGCCAACTTTTATTGGACCTCTATTTTAGGCTGTGTAGAATATTGGCCCCTGGATACCAAACATGGACCTTTTTCAACTGTTTTTTGTTGTCTCAATTCTGGATATAAGGATACAAGATGTATATAAAATGATAATAATCAATGGCTGAGAATGTGACCCAGAGTCCATATACCAGATAAGGTCAGAAAAAGGCCTATAATTAATTTATGTGGTCCAAGTGAGTGGTTCTGTCATGAAGGTCAGCCGATGTTTGGTCTTTCTACTCCTGAACTCTTCTCAACTCTGAACAGACAGTGCTGTAAAATGAAAATCTGAGCACCAGAAAACCTCTTAAATAACAAAATATATATATTTACACTTCACTGAACAAAAAGAGTGGATGAAGAGCAAAGGTGCGTCGCCACACACTCATGGAACTGAACAGAAACCATGTGGAACATTCCAAACAAAGGAAGAAAGTAAATCTTCAGGAACAAAATGATCATTCAAGTGTGTGTGTGTGTGTGTGTGTACGTACATCTAAATACTGCTGAGAACAAATCTTAATGGGAGAATGTCCAGGCTTTGGAGTGCATTCCTCCTGCAGATCTTATATGAGTCGGACCATCATATCTCTTTCATTCTCCAGCAAACACTTGATCGTTGTCTTCAACGTGTCCTGATGCTTGACCTGACAGTGATTTTACTGAAATACAGGGAGAGACTTCAGTCAAAACCATGTTTGACAAGAGAATAACTTGGTTCAATCCACCTACTTTTTCCTAAGTAGAAAGACACAGTGATGCTACGTTGTGTTGCACTCAGCAAGCAAACGTAAACAGTACTCAAAGGGGGCAAAAACTGTTCCACTTGTATTACAATAATGTTGTCAGCACCACCAACATCACACTGTAAAAAACAGTTCCCTCTCACTTTTCAGAACAGCCGTTACCTTCTCATTTGGGTCCTTTTTGTCTCCGTTCACGGCCTTCAGGAGGATGGTGCCTTCGGTCTGCGTGCTGCTCTTCATCTCTACCACAATGTCGTCTTTGGTCGTCTTCTCTTTGGTGCTGCAGATAAAAAAAAACAGTCAGTCTTTGTTAAAGGTTTTCATAACATGGTTAAGGATAAATGGACTTGCTGTTGTTGCTGCTGTGGTTATTGTGTACTTTCAGATTCAGAACACTCACATTTCTTGCTTTCCTGCACGTCCGCAGGGAATCTTTCCTTTCTTGTGAAGGAAGTAGAGAAGGCTGCCGAGGATGGCCAGCAGCAGCAGAGACAGAATGATCACAACGATGATCACCCCGCTGCCCTCGGCTACACACACACACGCAAGAAGACAGAGAGAACAGATTTAGATATAATATAGTGTATACACACATATATAAATAAATATATATATATATCACATGTCATTGTAAAGAGTATATATATGTACAACAGAGAAGGCTGTACATTATTTGCCCTTCATTTATGTCTCCATGTAGCTCTGGCTGCTCCTGTGGCCCACAGCTTATTCGATTATATACACTGTGCACTTTGCCTTCCTACAACTCAGTAAATTCTTATTTTATTACTCTACCACTCATACAGATAGGAGTTGTCATTTATTTATACCCGCTACACACTGCATTGCAGCATTATTCGTTTACTCTAACCATAAAATCTGAGACACTGATCACTGTGTGTTTGTGTAACTGCACTTGCTTATTTTCAAGGTCGTTCAATTTCAGCTCTCATGTTCTCAGCAGGATGGACTTTAAATGGACCCCCCCTCCTCCCCCAAATTATTATGAAGGTAATCACACTGAGCTGAAAATTTAGGACTTTAAGAGCATCATCAGGTTCCAATTTAGGACTTTAAGAGCATCATCAGGGTCTGGCTCATATTCACACTTTTAGTTCCTGGAAAAGTGTCTCAGTTATTAATAGATAAAATAGATGAAATTTATCTCCATATAACTCCATGTCCTGAACACTACAACATTATGAGCCATGTTCTAGTGACAAAGTGAGTGCGGCCTCCAGTCATTTCTATCACACTCATTAAACAGTGATGTACTTAGTCTTAATAAGTCAGAGGGCCTGTTAAATGGACTGTGTGACATAAACAGCACCTTTAACGCTCAGTGAATAACAAACAATCACACACACAAAAATCCCTTGCTTTCTGTTGGTTGTTTCTGGTTAATTACAGACCACTGTATTGACCAAAGGTCAGTTAACCTGGTTAAACTGGTTAAGCTGGTGTTAAGTGACTGTTGTGCTAACCACACTGCTCTCCTGCTGCTTATTTAAGATAGTAAACACTGTGTTTTAGTGATTATTAGAAAAGGATCATCCTCCAGGTGGCAGTCTTACCTGGAGAGAAGGGAGTCGAAGAGGTGACCCTGGGAACTGTCAAAAAGAAGAAGAAGAGCGATCAAAGTGGGCAGCTGTCCATCGACATCAAACAAAAAACACAGTAGTGTCACTGATGTCCATCGACATCAAACAAAAAACACACACACGGCCCAATAGTGTCACTGACTCCTAAACACGCACAACTGTTTTTTTTCCACCCACTTCCTAACCTTCCATTCCAGCCTGGTGTTTTCTCCCAACACCACATCACCATCTCTCAGCTCAGTAAATAGTTTTCAGTCTTTCACCTTGTTTGTTTGTTTTTTTTTTGTCCAGCCTCACTCTTTTCCTACTAATTCTCTGTCCTCCTCCCTTGCCACTTGCTACTGTCATTTTGGCTTAGATTTGGCCCACATCCTGGATACTACATTTAGACCACTGGATACCAGATGTTGGCCACTAAAGCCCCATGATTATTGGCCCTATGTGGTGAAAATACAAGTCGAGTCATTTTCTGCCAATTTAGCTCTGTTGGAAATCAAACTGAACTACCACATGTTACAGTGATTGGATTAAATCACCCACACATGCCCCCCCCCACCCCACACATTATAAACAGCTCTTACTGGCTTTGACGTTGAAGATCTTGAGGCCACTGCCTAAGTCGTTGCTAGCGTTGCACTGAGCGCTGATGTCCGAGGTGACTCTGACCGACACCACACTCTGGGTCTTGTGCTCTTCTGATTTGCTCACCACCTCATACCACTCCTGCACAGACACGCACAGTTGATCAGGTTACTGTTTACACGTCTGGTCAGAAAAAAAAAACCTCTACCATAACATTAGTAAAAATATCTGACTTGACAAATTCAACTGCTTTTGCCAGGAAATGACGAGTCCAAGAACCCATATTGAAATAGTTACCTGCCGAAATAAAAATAAATGATATAAGGCAGAAGTGTATGTTTTTTTAATAGCTAACAGAGCCGCTCCACTTCCTGCTGCAACCAGAAAGTACTCAGTGGTAAAAGTCAGTCGGCCAGTGCACACAAAAATATCATAATGTCTAATTAAAGAGTTAACTCAATAATCAAACGTACAGATGGTCTGGTGTGCAGGTTATTCCTGTTATTTGGTCAGTACGTGGAGAACACAGTTTTTCTAATTCGTGTTGACAATGAGGAATACCTTGCTGCCAATGACGTTCCAGGAGACGCTGGGAGAAGGATAGCCCCAAGCCTCACAGCTCAGGTTCACCATGCGGCCTGTAGCCTCCTCCATGTGCACCTCCTCCTCTGCTCCCACCAGCTGAGGATCCCCTGCACACAAACGATCACAGTTGTCGGTATTCTGAAGTGTTGATTGCTCCTCTGTTTAATGTAAACACTCATTCTCACGATTGTTTGAGAAGCTGTCAGTGAAACCAAATACTTCCCACACAGATGTTTCAGATTTAAAACTGTCCAGCAGCTTGAGGAGGCTGCAGACGTCTTTAGTGGCACAGTTTCAGAGACTGACTCACGGTGCAGGGGAGACAGTAGTACAGTGCCGGCGAGCACAGACTGACCTTGAACGATAATGTGGACGGAGCCGCTGACTTGCATCCCGGGCACGGTGGAAACAGCCACCACACAAGTGTACTCTCCAGTCATTTCATAGGTGGCCTGCTGGATGTGTAAGGTGGTTCCCTCGCCCACTTGCTTCTCATTCTAAACACACAAAATGAATGAAAACATATGTGGAAATGGTTTATGCCGGGGGAGAGGAGGGGTGTCAAACTCCATCAGAATAAGGTGCAGGGCCCAAGAGGTTTATATTCCAACTACTGACAGAGAGATTTGGTCCATGAGCCTGGAGTTTGATCCACTTGGTTTACGCAGTATACAACTTAACAGAGCTTTAAGATTAATGGTAAAGCCGTACCTTATACCAGACGGTGGATGTTTTCAAGGAGGACAAAGCGTTGCAGCTGGCGGTGAGATCTTCACCCTTGAACATCAACTCAGACTCTTTAGGAACGACCACGACTGGGTCCAAATCTGCAGATGGTGAAAGACAGAAACACATTCTTCACAATCACATGTATGTGACATTTGTGTTCACATAAATTATTAAAATGCAGTTTCCTTTTCCCCATATCATATCTCAGATTCAAATCAAATGTTTATGGCAGTGAAACTCTGAGTATTTGTGAATACGACTGTGAATGTGTGTGTGTTTTTGTTTTTCCTCACAGTGCACAGTCAGCTGCACCTCTCCTTTGACATCAGTGTTTCTGTCAAAGCCAACAGGTCGACACTGGTAGATGCCACTGTCCTTTCGTGTGACTGGTGACAGGATCACAACGTCACCGCTGCTCTTCAGTTCGTTATCCACATCCTGCAACAGAAACAAAGTTCATTTCTGAATAATGTTTTTGATTTAGAAGAACCAGGATAAAACAAGACATTTTGAATCCACATCATCAACGGAAAAAGCAACTCAAGGTCACATTAAGCCTTTTCCCCCTCAGGATAATATATATTTATATTTTTTTTATTTTTCGAAAGAGAATAATCCAAACTGTGCAGATACTAAGCTAAAACGACAATAATATATTTTTTATTTTAGATCAAGTTTTACATTCTGCATTTACAATAGACAGACGAATATGTGTGTGTGTGTGTGTGTGTGTGTGACATGGGAACAAGTGGTAGCCATGAGCTCTTGTCAGTGTGAGTCTGGATCTGCAGGGTCAGAGCTGACAGGACCCTGCACACTACATGTCTACATGAAAAACCCTGTGAGCCCTGCATATCAAAAACATTCCATACACGTCCCCTGTGTGTCACCCGGTCTCCCTGGGGGGGGATTTTGGGGGTGAGAAAAGACTCCATTCTTACTTGAACTCTACTGAAAACGAAGGATGGCGGGGGGTTGCCATCGCCCTGACAACGCAGCTCCACAGTATCTCCCTCTTTCACCAAGCCCTGAGGAGACTCCTTCCACAGCTCCACCATGGTGGTGGGGTCTAAACACACACACACACACACACACACAATCAAATTAAGGGAGCTTATTCAGCACTAACAAGACCGTTTTACACAGCCGTGACGGCCCAGACTGTGTTTGGCCAGAACTGTCACAATGTCCAGACAAGTGTTTCAACAACAATGGACCACAGGGGAGAGACAGGAAGTGACACGGCTTCGAAAACGCTTCACAATGACAGAATTTATTATATAAAAAAAAATCTTTTGGAAAGTGTTATATAAATATTTTAATTTTAATAATTGTATATGTATTGTAATGTATTTATTTACTGGGCCTGATGAGCAGAAGTTGTCAAGATTTTCTGCAATATTTTAATTTACTGAGAAACTTCGCATTTTTTTGTCAGTACTTTTTCTTTATAAGCTTTTCACTTTTCACTTTTGTGACATGGACATAGAAAGTCCACAGAATTTCAAACTCACAGTGGACTGTGATGTTGACGGCGTTGGACTCAGTCGTCCTGATGCCCTGTGGGATGTAGTAGATCGCTGCACAGGTGAACTGGGCATCCTTGTCCTCCTTGGTCACCTTGTACTCCAGGGTGCTCTGGACAGAGTAGAGGTCCTTGGTCTTCCAGGTCAGGGTCAAGACGTTTATTTCTGGTGATCAATCGGGACATTTTAGTTACATTAAAAATGACAAAGATGAATTTTGAGTTTACTTGTCACTTACACGTCTTTCGGGCTATTTTTTTTTTTACATATTGGGAAATGAATGCAACTTGCAGTTTGATGTTTTGATGTTAAAAGGTAATTTTCTTTTCTGTTGTTGTGCAAAAAAGAGACAAGAACTTGTCTTCTGTGTAAACTCACGTCCTATTGTTGGCTCCAGTGAGAGGCCGTTTTTGTACCAGGTGATGTTGGGTTGAGGGAAGCCGTTCTTTACCTCACATGATGCAATCTGGATGAAAAAAAAAACAACAAAAAAACATTTGTTGTTGTTATAATTAGGTCACCCTGACCACAACCAAATCATCCTTGACCCCATGTGGCCTAAAAGGACTCACCTTAGACGGCACATCTTTGGTCACAGATATTCCAGCAGTGATGCCCTCGATCACTGGAGGCTCTGGAGGAGCTGCATTGAAAGATTATACATTACGAACACACAAGAAGAAGACAGAGGAAGAAGACCACATTGTTAGTCTTGGTGAGAATTCTTACCAAACACAGAGAGGTTGGTCTTGCCCTCAGCACTGCCGGCAGCCAGCCCGTTCACCGAACAGAAAAATTCCCTGTTGTCTGAAAGCTGCACGTCAGAAATTGTGAGCAAAACTCCATGCTCGGTTTTGGAAACACCGATCCGACCCGTGTAGTCCGTTTCGTTGTCCGCGATGTTGAACTCGTTGTCCATGTAGGAGATACGTCTTCTTGACTTACCGACAGCTCGCTGCAGGAGAGAAAGACAGTCAGCGCCAACTTCACTTCTCACTAAAATTGACATCTTTTATAGTAGTTGATACTTTGTGATTAAACTGTGTTTTGTTCCCTGTTGACCCCTGCAGGTCTACAATTACTTTAATAAAGCAAATGGAGTTATTAATAAAGAATGAAAATAGTATATGCAGTTACAGAGACTGCAGGTCTACAATTACTTTAATAAAGTGAATGGAGTTATTAATAAATAATGAAAATAGTATATACCGAGTAAAGCTAAACAACACAAATGACAAACAGCCCAGGCCTGGCTAAAATGAACTGATGAAGTTGTTTAATTCAATTTAAATTAATTAAAGGACAATATTCACACCTTCACAGCATTGTGACTGTATATCAAATTTCGACCCTACAATAATAAACTGATTTCTAAACTGACTGAATATAATCAACAACACATGCAGCTGTGCCGTTCTCACATGTATCACTTTTTTATGCGGCAGCTCCCAGAGAAAACTCACCACAAACCACTGGATCATGATAAAACTGGGCTCTTTGGCGACGTTGGTGAATTCATAGTTGCAGCGAATCTCAGCCGTGGCGCCCAAGTACACTTCAGCAGTCTCATTCATGTCCAAAGTCACCTTGGCCCAGGCTGTGAGACACAGAAAAGCACAAGAATAAATACATTTCTGCAAATACTGCGCACGAACATGGACAATTCACAGTTAACAGCACTCTCTGTCTTTGTGTTTAGATCTACTGCTAATCCTGGACCTCAGTCTATTTCTGACATGTATTGTGTTTGGCAGGCTGGGCCCTGTTCTCCATCCAACCTGGAGACAGTCAGCTATGTTAACAGAAGACAGAAGAAAAGGCCTCTTGTCCACACCACTGAGTTTTTGCCTATTTTGCCTGACTGTAACCACATCTTGGCCGAAGAATCTGTTCCCAGGGAATGATGGGAAGAAATTGCAAGCATGGTGGAGGCTTGCCAGGATTGACAGTGAACTGTTTACTAAATGAGCCAACATCTTTCTAATACATGTTGGACTTGGCTGCTGGTTTAGAGAGGCCCACTAAGAAAGTGACAAAAGAAACAAGATTGAAACAACAAGAATTTTCTTGGTTAAATCTCGGTTTCAAGATGCAAAACTTTTCCTCCTTCTTCTACCACAATACACACAGTACGTGTTTCTGTTGAAACATTTGCTAAATCTCTCAATTCAAATCCAAAGGTCAACCCGTTAGTCATGTACATTTAGATTTTCTAAATTCTAATCTTGAGTTCAGAAACAGAACAAGGAAAAATGTAAACAACCCACAGGACCTCAGTCAAACTCATGCATTTTCAGCACTGCTTGAAACAGACCAAGCATGAAAGAAGCTTTAAGGGTCCAGTTGCCACCCTGCTGCCCCCCACTACTGACTGCTCCTCCCACAATTATTGTCGAAACATTTTTTTCCCCTGCTCTGCCCCCATGTCCAGCCAACCATTGCTCTGAAGACAACCCGTCACACTATTGTTCCCCCACCTGGGGAGACCGTATCCCCATCGCCCCCTCCCCTTGACAACTGCCCGGCAGTCAACCCAAAGATGACAGGTCACCTCCAACGCAGAGGTTAAAACTGTTCCACGTGTTTACAGTGACAACAGTGAAAAAATGTTTTAGAGACAACAGAAAGACGCTGATTAGGACGATTGTTCTGCAAAACATGTCACACAAGTCTGAATGCTCTCTTTTTCAAGGGGGGTGGGGTGAGGGGGGGCCGCAGCGAGGGCAGGCTGCTAAATTTTCAACTAATCCGATTAGCACTTGGGGGGCTGCCGGAGGATTTGGCTTCCAAAAAGCCAACCTGGGACTGGTCTTATCTGTTCCTGTTGTGACTTTATGCCGCACCGACTGAGGCACAAACAGCCCTGACCGGTGATCTATGGACCCTGACAAGCAGAACCGATGCCTGTGTGCAGAGAGCGCATACATTTGTGGCTGTCGGCTCTGTGAGTCTGGATGATACAGAGCTGATTCTTTCAGTCAGGCTGAAAAAGAAAAACAACGCAGCACGGTGTATTTGAATGTGTTGACAGGATCAGGTCTGTTGGACACGGTGCCACGTGATTGACCTTTCAGATGAATGAACATGAGTGTGAAGAAACACACACCAGAACAAACACAGACGGTTTCAATTGCGGATGTCCTTCAGCAGTAGATGTAGATTTTTCAGAGAGCACCGACTGTGAAATCATCAAGGGTTTAAGAAAATATCCATACATTTCACAACATCACAATTAACATTCAAATATCCATGTTTTTTCTTGAAATATCACGATATTTCATTTCACAACATCGCAATTAACATTCAAATATCCATGGTTTTTCTCTTTTTTTTGCTTTTTGTGTTTACAATGCTGACAGTTTTCTTACAATACATTATTGTATAAGATAATTACAGTCACATGTTTCTTCAGGCAAAATTGTGTTGTTGTTTTTTTCACCGTCGAACTAAAGTTTTTTTCTTGGAAAATCTTGGTGATTTAGAAGAAACCAGGCCTTGTCCTCACAACAGCTTCATTCAGCTGACTGCATGGCAATCCTACACTCATTAGCTCGGAGTTACAATCAACTGATTTTATTGACGGTTCAATCTGTGCAACTTTCAACTTTCAACAACAACAAAACAATCAAAGAAAGAAAGTTTATCTGGGGACAAAGGCTGAACCACAAGAGCAAATGAGGACACAAAATATATGTTTTTCTTTTTTGTTCATACAGTACAATACATTCCAGACAATACAAGTACAGACAAAACAGCAGACACAATGACTGACCTCCAGTATGAGCTTTGCATACAGTCGCTCATTATGTCCCTAATTCACAGACAATACCCTCAGACGCTAACTTAAGAGGTCACCATTAGTGGCTTCCCCCTCATCTGATGAGATCTGTCAGCTTAGGCCCTGGTGGGTCTACAGCTCTGCCACTGATAAGAACCCAAATCACCCCTGACACAACACGTCGGCCAACCTTTTTTTTAACCAATCTTAATCCCCCACAAAACTGATGGACCATGAAATGAGGCTAAATGTCTCTGAGAACATGAAAAGGTCTGGCGATAAATGCTCTGTACGTTCTCGATGGTTTTTACTGAAGAAAAAATTACTATTGGCTATTAATTATTGGCTTACAATTTCCCTAAACAGTAGTTCTGACATTGTGTTTTACACAGACTCTTATTCTGATACACCTGGTGACCAGGAGTAAAAAAGCCAGGGAATGTCTAAATGTCTGTATTCTTGTTTTTATTTAAATGTAGATATTTTTAGAAGTTCAAGTTGTTTGTAATTTTCTGAAAAGTGTCAACTGCTGCATGTCATCTTTTAAATCCTTTAATACAGATTATTAATGCCTTTATGAGAAATATGCAGGACTGCAGGTGTTCACCCTTCCTCAAAGATCAACATGACATTTGAAGTGAAGTTTTTTTTTCCAAGAGAGAAACTATTAACAAAACAACTGAGGGTCTCAGGGTCTGGATAAGGGATCTGCTGACACTGATTATTCCTCAAAAAAGCTATTCAGAGTGGATGACGGGGAGGAGGACGAGTTCTCCAACACCTGAAGGACACGGTGTACTTCTCCACATCAAACAGCACATGCACTCAGGCTCTCACACAGTGAAAAAGCATGCAGCCCTACAGAGACGATAAGAGCTCCAAGACTCAGTGATGTGGCTGCTTTTCAGGACCAGCATCTGGCACAAATCTTCCATCGGTCTGATCCCGTGGTGACAGGGAAGAGCCCGGCTTTTATTCTTTCACATGGAGGGAGATAGAAAAGTGCTGCAAATCTCCTCAAAGGCACCTCTGTATGCATCGCTGACCCACCCCCAATAACCCCCCCTTTGTCGTGCAGCAGAGTGTACAGCAGCTCCAGGTCAGGACCTGACACACAGAGCCCTGCATCATCCACATTGCTGTGGCCTCACTCAGCACTCAGCCACGGGAAAATCACCAAGCTGATACTGACCTATGGTGGACAAGAGCTTGCATTGTGCCAGAGCGCAGTCAGTTTTGTTGGTACATTTTCTTTTTTTTCTGGAGCAAACTATTTTCTATTGATTTTGTATGTTAACAGGTGTCGATTGGGAAAAGTCGGATTTAAACTCTAACAAGGTTTTGTAAAAACTCTTACCACCAAAAACATTACCACAATTCCTCATTAACATCTTTGTACCAATATGATACGAAAATGAACAAAATGTGTCGTGGCTGGTGTTGAAGTAACGTCACTGTTTCTGTGTGGTGTAAAATACCAGCCACAGAAATGATGGTGAAAGACGACGAGGGAAAAAAATGCTGAACTGTATATTTGTGTAGTAAATAGAACGTAATCCAGCAAGGCCTGGAAAATGTTAAGTGGAACAAAATCAGGCTTTTGGGAGGATCTGCTGAGACTCACTTAACGTCCTAGCGGCCACATGACCTTCACACCTGCACAAAACTCACAAAAACATGATGGTGTGTTGAAATGTTCTGCTGCTTGTTTCACCACATCGTTCTCTCCCTTCACAGTTCACCAACACTGGCTTTTCTTTTTTTTTTAAAGAATGGCTAATCATCCCTACTGGTTAGCAACTCTTTCAGCGGCAGCAGCATTAATTTTTCATGATAACACCCGGTGGGTGAGTCTTCATTAAAGCAGCAGCAGCATTAATGATTTATTTATGTTTGGTTCTGATGTTCTGCAGCGACTGCAGCTTGTTCCTGGGCATCCAGCGCTCATCAGCACACCCCTCCCTCAAAGCTGCTGTGCACTGGCATGCGGGCTGCACCACAGCCACAGGATGGCTAATTAAAGGTCAACAGGCTAAACACTGGAACTACTTCTGGGGTGGTTTCCCTTAGGTCAAAGCAAAACAAAACAAATTTGAGAAATGTTTGTGGAAAACCCCACTGGAATAAAATATAGAAAATTAAATAAAAAAACATATAGTTATTTAATTCAATAATAACACAGTCCACTGTTAACTGTAGTGTAAACACACGCTTAATTCAATAATAACACAGTCCACTGTAGTGGAGTTACTTGTTTCTAGTAAAACTTTTGTGGTTTAAACACGTCAAATCGGGTATTTTTCAAAGCTAAAAAACAGAATAATTCTTCGGATGATTACCAAAACATTTGTCCATTAATTTTGGTACCTAACCTGATGGTTATTTCCTTCTTGCAGCCCAAACAACTATTGTGACCATGCGGATGACTTGACACGTTAGTGACTGCATTCATCAAAACTGGACAGAGAACAAGTGCAACTATTATGTTCCATAATCCAGAATAAAGCCCTGACCACATCCGTGCAGCTCTGCTCTTTACTTGTCTACAGTTTCCATGTCAAACATAAATATCAATTTAAGGATAAACGACTTCCTTCCTCAACATGGATTAAGTATCTCTGGACAAAAGTACTAACCACAATGTATGAAGCTTTGATTACAAGGATTAACCGAGCAGTTACAAGCATGAGCAGTAATCCAGTTTTGACCTTTTGATCAAACTCCAAACCTTTGTGAGTCCGTGTCATATTGGGAGTGCGAGAAAGACGAGACATTAAGGTAACAGGATGGGCCTTCAGGTACCAAGCTGTATTCAAAGT